TTCATAATTTTCATAAGTTTTTCAAAAGAGTGTACTATAAAAGGGAGAACTACTTACCTACAAAAGTAGAGTAGTTCTGAAACCTGAATACTTACCACCAAATGAAAGGTTTGAAAATAATAATGCCTGCTCATTCTTGTTCTCTCTAGAGATGACCTGCTTCCAGTCTATTGAAAGTGTGCTCCTTTCCTAATAAACTTTACACACACACACACGCACACGCACACGCGCACACACACACACACACCCTCTGAACTCAATTCCAACCCACAGGGTTTGTGATTCAGTGTTTAAGATAGAGTATCATCAACACAGGGTTGAAAGCCACCAATCTAGATAGAAGTAACAAAGATAACTCTGTGGGAACAGAAACTGTTCATTTCTGTACACTGACAATCTAGACAGTACCTGGCATATAGAAGGCACTCAGTAAATATTTATTGAATGAATGAGTACTAGAGCCCTCCAGCTGAAAAAAGTTTTCTTTAAAAAAAAAAAAGGCAGCACATCTTACTATTCATGATAAGTCATGTTAGAATCAGTAAAATATCAGAAAAATTTTTTCACACAGTCATAGCATACACCTTTGTACCCTTAAGTATGTTGTTATGTACTGCAGGCAAATACTTTGAGAAGTAAAGGAATAGAATCTTTGGGCTAGTGGTATGTAGCAAATATGACAGAACATTTTATGGGGGGTTATGGCTGTTTTTGTACAACCTGTATTTGGTACATTGTTTTATTTAAATGGCTTTAACTGGGGAAGAATCCTGTAGCAATCCAACAAACATTCTTAATAGGTTCTATTTGTATTTAGTAACCTTATGTTTTATTCTCATCCCATTTTCTTTAATCCCCAAATAATAGAGGACCCTCCAATTACTAACAAGTCACTGTAGTGTGGTGTGATATTTCAAGATTAAAAATACTTGTTTCTGTGAGATTGAGGAGCGTTATGGGATCAATTTATGTGGAAGTATGCTAGAACAAGCATATATGACTGCTGGCAGAGAAATGGCAAAATTACAGTTGTATGGACCCCTTCAATTTCCAGAAATTATGAGTGAGGGCTGTTGGGATAATCAGCTTTTGGGGCAACAAGTTTATTAGTACAGGATCCGTAAGTATTTGGAAATTCTAGGATTTCTATGTTTTAGAGTTCTTTAGAAACTACCTCATGATTTTTGTTTGTTTGGTAGAGGAGGATGCCTAGTCAAGCTTTTTCTTTTTTCCACTAGTGCATCATGTTAATTGTACAAAGGGTATACATTGATCAAACTCACTCCCTCTATTACTTTCTTATTCTCCCTCTCTACCCCTCACACACACACACACACACACACACACTTTTTTTTTTTTTTTTTGGCAGTACTAGGTTTGAATTCACAGCTTCACGATTGCTAGGCAGGCACTCTTACCGCTTGAGCCATGCTTCCAGCCCTTTTTGCTCAGTTATTTTGGGGATAGGGTCTTGCTCTTTGCCCAGGCTGGCCTGGATCATTATCCTCATATTTTAAGTTTCCCACTGTTGCTGGTGTGTTGAGACACGTACTACCATGCCCAGCATTTTTCCATTGAGATGGGATCTCAGACGTCTTTGTCTGGTTGGCCTAGAACTGCCTTCCTCTCAATCTCAACCTCCCAAGTAACTAGGATTACAGCCATGAGCCACTGGCACCCGACACCTCTCCACCCCCTTTAAAACGGTTTTTTTAACGGAAGTCATTCTATTTTCAAACACACGTGTGAAGTGCTTTATCATATTCACCCTTGCCTTTCACCCTCCTTCCTCCAGCTGGTTCCTACCCTCAAATCGTTCATCTTACACTTATATCATTCAGGGGTTTTTGTTGTTGTTTTTGTTAAGCTTTTCTTTTTTGGTTTTGTGTGTGTGTGTGTGTGTGTGTGTGTGTGTGTGTGTGTGTGTGTTTAGGTGTACATTCTGACTATGAGAGAGAACATGCAATATTTGTTTTTCTTAGTCTGACTTATTTCATGTAACATGATTTTCAGTTCCATCCATTTTCCTGCAAGTGACATAATTTCATTCTTCTTTATGTCTGAATAATACTCCAGTGTGTGTATGTGTGCAAGTGTATATGACATTTTCTTTATCAATTCATAAGTTGAAGGACACCTAAAACTGATTCCATAGTTTGGCTATTGTGAATAATGCTGCTTGTAAGCATTGATGAATAACTATGTTTATGCTGACTTATATTCTTTTGGGTATATGCCCAGGTGTGGTGTAGCAGGATCATATGGTAGTTCTGTTTTTAGTTTTGTGAGGAGCCTCCATACTGATTTCCATAGTGGCTGCTGTCTCATGCGTTCATATACACTGTTGGAATCATCTTACAGGATATATGCCAACTACTTTTAAATATACTGGAGGGAAATGAAATGGAAATTGGTGTGAAATTTCAGACTAAAGGAAGATTCCTATGTAGCCCATCTAATTTGAGTAGATTGTGGTAGGAGATGGCTTTCCTAATTAATTTTCATTAATGTGTAGAATATGGTTAGGACCAAGACGGCACATGAACACCTACAACAAGGCCTTGGGACTGGAATCTTTCTTTTAAATTATTTATTTATTTTTGCAGTGCTGAGATCTAACCCAGGCCTTTCAAATGATAGCCATGCACTCTACCTCTGACCTATACAGTGTGTGTTACTGTATGTTGACCCAGGGCCTTGTGCATGCTAGGCAAGTCCTCTACATTATCACTTTTTAATAAAGTGAATATTTCTTTAATACTGTTTTCTCTTTATAAAATTTTTCCCATTTTTTATTAGTATATATTAGTTGTACAAAGGGATTTCATTGTGATATTTCCATATATGCATACAATGTACCCTGATTAAATTCACCCCCTCTTATCACTCCCCTCATCACTTTGTTCCCTCTTAAAACAACTCTAGTAAGTCTCATTGTTCTATTTTCATGTGTGTATAAAGTATTTAGATAAAAAAAAGACCAAAAGTACTTCAGTCATGTTCACACACTCCCCTAAATCTTCCCCCCCACACCCCTAGGCAAAACCTGTTTTATATTCCTGTCATTCATGTTTAAGGACTGGATTCTTCCCACTACCACTTATTTTAATGCACTCTAGATATACTGTGATTGTGTTAGCTAATGATAGGTAACTAAATTTTTACTGGTTTCATCATAACTTGTATTTGTTAAATAATTCAACAAATTATGATCTGTTATACATGCTAAAAATTAAAAAATCATAGCATTGTATCATGATCAGCTGTGAGATGCCTCAAAAGTAGTTTATTACTAGGCTGAAGATATAGCTCAGTGGTAGAGTGTTGGCCTAGTGTGCATGAGCCCTGTGTTTGATCCCTATTACTACTTTCTCCTGCCTCCCCAAAAAAAGATTATTCATAAATTTATATATTTTTAGTAATAAGCTAATTTTTTTTTCCCCTTGCGATGCTAGGGATTGGACCCAGGGCCTTGTACATACTAAGCAAGCCCTGTACCACTGAGTTACGTCTCTGGCACGGTAAATGATCTATTTTTTTAAAAAATTAATTGAAGGCTATTATTCAACATACATCATCAAGCAGAAAATTTTAAAACAAAATATTGGGTTCTAAAAGCAAGTCACAGTAGAATATATACAATAAAATTGTATTATTGGAAGTTAAAAAACGGAAAACTAGGCTGGAGTTGTGGCTTATGTGGTAGAATGTCTGCCTAGCAAGCACAAAGCCCTGAGTTCAAACTCCAGTACTGCAAAAACAAAATAAAGCAGGGAAAACTTAAGGGTTCTTAGGGATGATATGTATCAATGTATAAAATTATGAAGAAAACAAAAGAAAGGGTGGTAGTTTCTTTTTAGGATATGTTAGAGGAACCTATAAGGACTTTTGAAGAAAGTGATATTTTATTTCTTGAGCTACATCGTTAGTACGTGGGTCTAGATATTTTAATTATTTGTTAACTTGTTAGGTTTCATAACTCTTAAAATGAAAAAATCGAAGTTACAGCTTAAGTAGTAGAATGCCTGCCTAGCAAGCACAAAGGAAAAAAAAAGCATAATTCAAACATATTAAACATATTAAAGGTTAGTCCTGTGAGTCTTGTAACTTTACTCATCTGCATTCCAGTTTGCCTCCTTGATTGGTTTGAGAATTGGGTTGTATTTAAGGTAGAGAAGTTCTCATGGGAGTCTGACATAACAACCCTAGGGTACATTATATGCATATATGGAAATGTCATAACAAAGCCCCCTGTACAGCTATCATAAACTAATAAAAACATTTTAAAAATTTGAACATTGCCAGGTGCCAGTGGCTCATGCTGTAATTCTAGCTACCCAGGAGACAGAAATCAGGAGGATCAAGGTTCAAAGCCAGCCCAGGCAAATAGTTCTTGAGACCCTGTCTAGAAAATACCCAACACAAAAAGGGACTGGTGGAGTGGCACAAGTGATAGAGTGCTTGTCTAACAAGTGTGAGGTCCTGACTTCAAACCTCAGTCCTACCAAAAAAATAAAAATAATTGCCTTCATTTGTATCATGAAAAGTGACTGAGAACCACTACTGTTAAGAATATAGTTTAGTAGAGTAAGCAGTCCTTTAAACTGTAATATAATATAACTGTTCTACTAGAACAGGTATGAGAGAAGAAGAGCGAGAAAGAGAAGAAGGGGGGAGGGGGAAAATGGCTAGAGATCAGCCAGGAAAGCTTTCTGGATTATGTTATTTAAGCTACACCTTTAGGGATGAGCAGTTATGAGGGGAGACCGGTGAGGGAGTCAACATTCCCCCGTGATGAAGAAGGATGTACAAAGACACAGAAGCCTAATGTCTGATGGAGAAAATGTGGATATATTAGGAGCCATACTGTGAAGAGCCTTCATCTAACACATGTAGAGTTTGCTCTGTGCATGTTAGGGTTTTATCATTTAAATTAGGAATATTAATTTGAGAATTCTGTTCAAGGCTTTATGCTTATGATTTTTTTCCTGTACTTACAGGCTGCAATATGGCAAGCACTAAACCACTATGCTTACAGAGATGCGGTTTTCCTTGCAGAACGACTGTATGCAGAAGGTTTGTAATCTGTTTATTTGTATGGAACCAAAAATGAATAAAATACATAGAATTCCATCAGTTTTTGTGACTAAGAAGATTCTTGGTGTTGCTCTCTTGTTTTTCATTTTTTTGACACTAGCTCATAAAAACTTTATCTTATATCCATGTGGCTCCCTTCATGTTAAATTTAGTGACAGACTATAAAGTTGATTAGAGTTTTATAGACTTAATTGCTTAATCATTTCCCAGTCCTTAGGATTTTTTTCCCCTAGGCTTGGTTTTTTGGGTTTTTTTTTTTTTTTTTTTTTTTTTTATCAGAACAGAATCCACATTCTGTGGCTAAGAGCATGGATTTAGAATCTATAGCTATGTTATAAACCCTAACCCTATAACTTAAATATCCATTTGTATAACCTTAGGCAATGTATTTAATGTCTGACCATTTCACATTTTTCATTTATAAAATAAAGAATCATAGAGAATAAGGTTAACAACCCATGAGGTCATATGCATGTGAATTTGTCTGTTCCACTTAAAGCAATATGCACTCTGGCTTCTAATGAAGAAGAGCCAGGAGAATGAATTTACCCAGGAAAGTCAGAGAGAAAAATTACAAAGGGATCACAAAAATTAACTGGAATTTCCTTTTGACTAATTAGATACTTATCAAGGTTGTAGTGACATATATTTGAGTAGGTGGATAAGTATAGCTAAATGTCTTCAAATTCCCCAAAAGAAGCCCAAATATTTCTTCCAACAGATTTTTAAAGATTTCAGTTTTCAGTTTAGGGGTTGTAATTTTGGAAAGTATCCCTTCAGTTTAAGAAATTTGGAGTCATCATTCGCTGGTAAATGGATGGAATTGGAGAACATCATTCTGAGTGAGGTTAGCCTGGCCCAAAAGACCAAAAATCGTATGTTCTCTCTCATATGCGGACATTAGATCAAGGGCAAACACAACAAGGGGATTGGACTATGAGCACATGATAAAAGCGAGAGCACACAAGGGAGGGGTGAGGATAGGTAAGACACCTAAAAAATTAGCTAGCATTTGTTGCCCTTAATGCAGAGAAACTAAAGCAGATACCTTAAAGCAACTGAGGCCAATAGGAAAAGGGGACCAGGAACTAGAGAAAAGGTTAGATTAAAAAGAATTAACCTAGAAGGTAACACCCACGCACAGGAAATCAATGTGAGTCAATGCCCTGTATAGCTATCCTTATCTCAACCAGCAAAACCCCTTGTTCCTTCCTATTATTGCTTATACTCTCTCTACAACAAAATTAGAAATAAGGGCAAAATAGTTTCTGCTGGGTATTGAGGGGGGGAGCGGGAGGGGGCGGAGTGGGTGGTAAGGGAGGGGGTGGGGGCAGGGGGGAGAAATGAACCAAGCCTTGTATGCACATATGAATAATAAAAGAAAAAAAAATACACACACAAAAAAAAGAAATTTGGAGTCAATGATGGAGTGGTTGAAGTGGTAGAGTACCTGCCTAGCAAGCATGAGGCCCTGAGTTCAAACTGCAGTACCAGCAAAAAAAAAAAAAGGAAAGAAAGAAATATGTGGTCATTCTCCACACCTCCCTTTTTGAGATGACCCACTTTCAGTCTATTGAAAGTTTATCTCTAGCCGGGCACCCATGCCTGTAATCTTAGTTACTAGGGAGGCTAAAATCAGGAGGTTTGAAGTTTGAGGCCACCCTGGGCAAATAGTCCGCAAGACCCCATTTCTAAAATAACCACAGCAAAATAGGCTGGAAGAGTGGTTCAAGCAGTAGAGTACCTGCTTTGCAAGCACAAATCCCTGAGTTCAAACCCAAGTCCCACCAAAAAGAAGAAGAAATTTAGAACTTTATATCCTTTATTGTGGGAAATGATTTTGATCATTCTCTGTTGAAGGATGCCTCTTATTAGAGTTCTTTTTATTGTTATTTTGTATTTTGGAGGTACTGGGGTTTGAACTCCAGGCCTTGTGCTTGCTAGGCAGGTACTCTACCACTTATGCCACTCCATCAACAAACATAGGGACATTTATGTGGTAACTTAGGCAATTTTTATTTTTAGTTTTTGGTCTTATTGGGGATTGAACTCAGGGCCTCATGCTTGCTAGACAGGTGCTCTACCACTAGAACCACTCTGCCAGCTAGAGTTCTTGTCTAAAACATTTCTTTGTAGTTAGTGGGCCACTCCAACCAAATACTAACTTTTGAGCATATTGATCAGTGATTAAAATGTTAGGTTATTTTATTTAGAGCCAATTCACAAAAATTTAGCCAATTTGAAAGATGGTCTTTGTTTCCATCTGTTTCTTGTTTGGATACATTTTGATTATCAGGGAGAAACTATTTGAATGACAAAGGATATATTCCATTTGGGGGTTTTTTCTTCTCTTTTTCTGTTTCTTATCTCAGATTTATTTGCAGGCAGTTGCTCAGATGTTATAATATTGGCATTTGTGTTGACCATTTTATCCTATATAGTTTTTGAGAATTTTTGCCAACAACTGACTTTCTTAGAGACATGTGCTCCCCACTTTCCTTTTTTTTTTTTTTTTTTAGTGCTAGGAAAGGGAGGTAGCCTCCAAACATAAAAACTGAATTCTTGATTCTTTAATGGGATTTTTGGGATGGAAGCATTTTGTGAAAACTTCAGTTGATGTACAAAAGCATGATGAATGTTACCTGAGAAAGATGTCTCTCTGTACTATTAGCTTTTTTTGCAGCAAGATACTACTACTTATGAAATGTTTAAACTAGTGAGAAACAGTTTGTGCATATAATTGATTTTAAATCCTCCTTATATCTTTTAATTTTTTAAATTGTATGTTGCCTTTTGATTCCAGTGTCCTTTCCAACTTGCTCTGGTTTGCACCAAATTCTTATTACACTGCAGAACATGCCAGCCTTCCGTGAGGAAGTTTTCCTGGAATGTGAAGCCTGGTACCATTAGCCATCCATATGTAGAAAGTTTTGTGAACTTGCATTTCTTTTTATGTGTACTCTGTAAGGCTGATTGTGACAAAAATCAGCTTAAGTTTTTATATTAGATTATTTTACTAACTGCTACAGTGAAAATAATCAAATTCTGTATATCAGTTGTATGATTTTCCTCTAGTCATAAGTGCTTAGTAAATTATTGTATGCAAGCATACAGAGGTATAAGACCATGAATCAAGTGCAGAATTCTTTTAATTATAAAGTAGATGTTCTGAGTTCAGTAGCTGAGAGTTACAAGAATGTAGGAACAAAGCTCATGAGCAGGGAATTTCACAAGAGGGCAAGGAATAATGCTTAGGACTAGTTATTTTAGTAGTAGTAATTGTAGTATCTGCAGTGGCAGTAGTATTCCCTGCCAAGAATGGAAGCTCAATGAGGAAAGTGGGGAAATCTGTGTAGCAGGAGTCTGAGGCCTCAGTGAAAAAATTTAGAAGGGGATGAGGAGAGAGTGGCTTTGAAACAAGACACAATAGATTGCCCTACTCTACTTCATTATGCAAAAGCAAAGTACCATAATCTATTTAAATATGTTGTCATTGATAATCTAAGCATTCCCATGTTTTGCTGTCTTGTATTTCTAATCTTTCGGTTTTGAATTTGTTTATTAAAGAACAGGCAGGACTGTTCAGTGGTAGAGTACTTGCCTAGAATGCATGCTGGGTTTGATCCCTAACATTTCAGGAAGGAAGGAAGAATAGGCAATTTCTATTTTATTGTAGTCAGGCTCCTAAAGATTGTAAATTATGAATTTAGAATTCAGATGATTAAAGTTTCCCACAGAATTTATAGCAAGAGTCCCAAATTAGTCCACACAAAGCTGTTTTTGTTGTTGATGCAGGATCTCACTAAGTTGCCCAGGCTGACTGCAAACTTAAGTCCTCTTGCCTCAGCCTTCCAAGTGCTGGAATTACAGGTGTGTACCACCACAGTCGGCCACATAATAATGCTTGCTATTTAATCCACATTCTATCTGTGCCTGACACAGTGCTTGACACTTGAAAAATTGTTCAGTATATGTTAATATCTTAATACAAGACCATTACACTTCGTTTATATTTCCTTTTGTTGTTGCTTTGTTTTGTTTTCATTTTCTTTTTTTTTTTTGGTGTTTTGAGACACATTTTCACTATGTAACCCAGACTGTCTTGGAACTACTCTGTAGTCCCCTACTGGCCTCTCTGATCCTTCTGCCTCAACCTCTTAAGTTCTGGGGTTATAAAAGGCCCATGCTACCATTCCTGGCTTGTTGAACTGTATTTCTGTAAAAGAGAATTGGAGAATTTTAGTTCAGTGAAAACAAGTATTATCCTAGCTCAATAATAAGGACAACAATATTTCTAATATTGATTTACTGTATACTAAGTGATCTAAATACTTAATATTTTCTTTTTCTTTTTGTGTGGTATCGAGGGTTTGAACTCAGTTCCTCACACCTTCTAGACAAGCACTCTACACTGAACATGGTGGTGCACAGCTACAATCCAAGATACTTAGGAGGCAGGGGAAAGGGAATCTCCTGCTTTGAAGCCATCTTAAATTAGTGAGACCCTGTGTCAAAAACAAAATACAGGAATCTTTACTCCCATTTCCTATTATACTAAAATAAATCCTTGCTAAAACTTAAAAACAAAACAAAAGAGCTGGAGGCATGACTCAAGTGGCAGAACACTTGCCTAGCATGCCTTGAGACCCTGGGTTCAATGCCCAGTACTACCAAACAAAAAAAAATGTTTCAGGTTTTGGGGATTTTTGATTTTTGGATTAGGGATGGTCAACTAGTGAAATCTATGCAAATTTTCTTCTTCTGGTCCAAGCATCTAGTCCTAAGCATCTTGGATAAGGGATATGCAACCATATACATGGGGCTGGCACTATCTGTGCTTTCATGTGTCCACAGGGGTTCTTAGAGTATAACCCTCTCAGATAAGCGGGGACTACTATAATTGACTTAGGAACTTAAAGCTAGTCAAAGTGAAGCACCTTTCACAGATTGTAGATGGTTCCATAGTTTATACCCTAAATACACACAGCATCTGAGTTTATGAGAGGGCAAGTGGAGTACTCTAAGCTCTAAAGAGTTCTCTGATACATGTAGAATTTATCAACTGTACAAATAGAGAACTCACCTAAACAAACTTTAAGTCTTGTCAGAACTGGTCCATTTTATAAAAGGTGCTCTTTTAGGTTATAAGTCACCATGAAGAGGCATCTATTTCAAGAGAGCTTCGGTGTCTCTTAACAATCCATCAGCTTGTCTGAATACACTTCATTATCTTTTCTTCTTCTTTTTTTTTTTTTTTTTTTGCAGTACTAGGGATTGAACTGAATTGAATTCAGTTCTCATGCATGCTAGGCAAGCACTTTACCACGAGAGCCATTCCCTCAGCCCTTTGATTTGTGGTCTTTTTTTTTTTTTTGAGGTTTTTTTTATTTTTTAATTTTTTAAAATTGTTTTTCTTTTTTTATTGTTATGCTAACATTTACAAAAGTTTTTACAATATATCAAATATATCAAACTTGAATTCACCCCCTCCATCATTCTCCTTTGGAGAATTTGTTTTGGTTTTGAGGTAAGGCCTTACCACCAACTTTATCCAAGCTGAATAAAGTTTGTCAAACTCACAAGGCTCCTGCCTGTGTATCCCAAGTAGCTGGGATTACAAGTGTGCACCACCACACCCATCCTTTGTTATTTTACAGCCTCATTATTTTTAAGCTTTGGCTTAAAAACCACCAATCTGTAATTCCATTTGAACATAATAACTTTTAAGTTGTTACACTTCAAAAAGGTAATTGCAATAGGACACTGAAATCTCACATGCATTATGTTATTAAAGAATTTTACTACAATGAAAATGGATCTACATGTAATCGAATGTTTATAAACCAAACATTTGATAAAACATTACAGTGGCTGGAAGTTAACTAGGCCTTTGCAAACTCTAGAAAAAATCACTTTCTAGCTTATGGAAATTAGCACTTGTAGCTCAGTAAAATTAATAATTTGCCCCTACTGCAGTAGAACTCTACTATCATTTTTTATATCTGCAGCACTGATACTACTACACATCCCATTAACACAAATGTGATAAAATTTCTCACTGTGTATTATTTATACTAGCATTCATGGAAAATCATAAAGTGGACCAGAGAAGAATTCTCTTGGGTTTTTTATATGACAAAAAACTTACAAGGGTAAAATTTCAATTACCTTTTTTATCCCCAATCTTGGAATGAAGTTAACTTTTCAGGAAGATGTGATAAGTTTGTCTTGTACTTTAGAACATTGGTTCTCAAACTTTAGCATGCCACAGGATCATCTGATGAGTTTAACACATATTGCTGATCCTTCACTTCCAGAACTACTGGTGTAGTGAGTCTGAGGTAAGGCACAAGAATTTGTATTTCTAATAAATTTCAAAGTCATGCTGATACTGGTACAGGGACCGCACTTTGAGAAGTACTGGCTTATAACATCTTTCAGTCCACTGGGATAATTATATAAAAGCACAGTTTTGTGTTTTTTCTCTTTATTTTGATTCCTGTTGTTGCTTCTACAGATTCATCTGGTGTGGTTAGAAGGTTGTGAAGATAGAATTGAAGTGATGGTCAATTGGGGAGAAATACAGAGTATATAAGTAACAAAGAAGGAAAGGGGCATTTCCTAATATCAAGAATAGGGCACAGACTAGGTAACTCAGCTTTTGCCATTGGCAAGCAGTTTATTTTGTGTTGATGTAAAGTCAATCAACTGAAAGTTAAAATGATGTGGATGGTATTCACAATTTAGAAATTTTTTCTTAAGTTATCTTCAGTGTAATTTAGTGTATATTTGTTTTTAGAGAGAAACAATGGTTTGTATTTTTTTTAAGTCTGGTCTTTTTAATGTAGAAATTATTTTAGAATAGAAATGAGGTTTATTTGCCCTCAATTTCCCTCTTCAATGAAATTTGACTTCTTGTCCTCCCAAAGGTTCTATTATCTTAAAAAAAAGATGCTTTACTGGTAGTCTGTTTAAATATTGAGAGTGTGTGTGTGTGTGTGTGTTTGCTTTTCCTAAGGATTTACAGAGAATATCATAATTGTCTTCGTTGTATTATTTCCTTGGTTCCTTGTAGAAAGAGAAGATAATCAGGGACTGAAGAACTGACCTTTTTATCAGCAATATCTATTCCTATAATTCAAATTTGAATTAGTAATTGCTTTGATTAAATAACATCTAATTTTTGTTGCTAAATTTATTGCCAGATAAACTGAATACTAGTCAATATTTCAATGTACTGAACAATAGCCAATTTCTTTTTCTTCTTCTTTTTTTTTTTTTTTTAAATGTCTGTTCTTAGTACACTCAGAAGAAGCCTTGTTTTTACTGGCAACCTGTTATTACCGCTCAGGAAAGGCCTATAAAGCGTATAGACTTTTGAAAGGACACAGTTGTACCACACCACAATGTAAATACCTGCTTGCAAAGTGTTGTGTTGATCTCAGCAAGTAAGTTTTAAAATCTTCTCTAGCTAATTTTGTTCTACTTATATTGTAGAATTTTGGATAAAATTCTTCTGTCAAATTAAACTCTGATTGACTCCCATTTTTTATAGTAGAGATTTGTCTATTTCAGTGAATTGAATTTGAAATGTCTACACTTGCCTTTGGCATTATTTTTGTTTCAGAGAGATTTCCTTGTTACAGTGATAAATAACAGAATTTAACTCTGGAGATGCTTAAGTTACAACTAACTCTTACCAGTTTCCAAAATAATCACAAATCTCATTTCCTTTCTTTGGTTTTCAGTGTTAGATGAATTTGAATAAGTCTGAAAATTTAATAATATATCTAGATGGTTATGTAGTGAAACTTCCTTTTGAGATCATCCTGTGTGGGAACTACTGCCCACCCCAACCCCTTTGAAGCAAGAGGACAGAGTCAGAAGAGCGCTTCTTTTGTTCATTACAATTAAACCAAATCAGCTGTCCCTATTCCAAATCTAGTAGCACCTGGAGGCACAGGTAGTTATGTTCTGTTAAGCTCTTTTCTGTTCAAACCTCAGTATCGGAAAAATAAAAGACTCCTTTCAAATAAATTTCCAGCTTTCCAAATGATTCTAAGTACATGTTTGCCACTATTCTAAAAGTATTAGGCACTTTTTACTCTTATCTGTCTCCATAGTTATACATTGGTAATGAAGGATATCTTCATGAAGTGGCTTTTTTATATTTTTTTAATTTGTAAATTTTTATTTATATTTTAAAGGCTTGCAGAAGGGGAACAGATCTTATCTGGTGGAGTGTTTAATAAGCAGAAAAGCCATGATGATATTGTTACTGAGTTTGGTGATTCGGCTTGCTTTACTCTTTCATTGTTGGGACATGTATATTGGTAAGTAAGAATGACTCAACCTACTAGTAGAGAACTTTCCATGCGAGAATGCTTTGTAGTTTAGAAACCTGTGTTGATCTGTGCTGCCAAATACAGCTTGCCTGAGTAGTATAAAATTTCTGATTCCATGACCTTGTTAAGCCAGTTAAATAGTGGAGATATTGATCCCATTTTTTTTAATCCTCTTAGCCTTGATGATAATAGCTGTAGTGCCACTAACAATCCAGTGCACAGAATGTTCTTTTTTTTTTAAACCTTGGGTTTAAAAACCTTGTTATATATTAGAGAGTCTTTATGTGATCCACTGAAGGAAAAAGAAGAGTGAAGTTTGTTTTTTCTAATATTAAATATCAGTGCTACTACTTAAAAAAAAAGAGACTTGAAAGGGCTGGCTGAGTGACTCAAGAGGTAAGAGTGCCTTCCTGGCAAGCCTGAGGCCTTCAGTTCAAATGCCAGTGCCGCCAAAATAAAAATAATTAAAATTTAAAAATCCAAAAGAGACTTGAAGGCAAGTTTTAGTAATAAAGAAGAACTGTTCTCATCTGATACATCATGATTTCAAAGCATGTCACTAGAAATCTACACTGGTTGTTGAAATAACAGTGATTTTGTAAATAATTTTTGAGTTTATCAAAAAATTTTTGAGTTTAAGTTTTTTAAGTGAGTATGAACTCAAAGTTAACAGTATAATAATACTGTTTTTATTCATCTTCATTCTGAGATACTTTTGGAATTGGGGAGTAGAAGGTGGAAATAAAATGATAACAGGACTCGTCCAAAGCTGTGCTCATGGGGACTGCTTTGCCTATGTAAATGTCATCTGTTATATATTAGAGAAATGATTGAGGAAAAACTAGGATAGCATCTGTTTTAAAATAAATTGAGACTAGTTTGAATAGTGATTTTATTTTTTTAAGAAACTTGAAAATGGACTGGAGGTGTGGCTTGAGTGGCAGGGTACCTTATTTTACAAGTGTGAAGCCCTGATTTCAAACCCCAGTCCCAACAAAAAACCTTGAGAATGTGTTTTTGTGCAAACTAAATTATCTGGTTGAATTTGGGGGCTCATTTTCAGGTATGTAGAAATATGTCTAGCCATTGACACCATTCTTCAGAACAAAAAAAAGATATCAGTATCTTCACTTTATCTTAAGAAAGGGACTGGGCATAATGAATTTAGTTCACACAACTATGACTCTTCTTATCATTCATTCAGTGAACTCTGAGATCCATCCTCCATTTTAGCTGGACACAGTAAGCATTTGGCACTAGGAATATCAATAGCTCACAGTCCCCACCCTTAAAGATTTATAGTGGAATAGGAAGAAAGAAACAGTAAACAAGTTTATAAATTTTATTATCATAATGAAAATACTGTGGTAAAATTTGGACAGTATTTTGTTCAAATGAGAGAATACTAATCAGTTCTACTTGGTTAAAAAGAGAAGTAAAAGAGTAGGAATATAGCTTTCTAGTAGAGCCCTTGACTGGTATGGACAAGGCCCTAGTTCAATCCCTAGTACCACAAACAGAAAGAGGAAGGAAGGGAGGGAGGGAGCATGGGAAGAAAGAAAAGGACAATATAGCATATTGAAAATCATGTAATCTAGCTTAGAGGAAAAGTTATAGTACTATATAGTTACAAACGAATGATCTTGTCTGGGCACACTGGCTCACACCTATAATCCCAGGTACTCAGAAGGCAGAGATCAGGAGGATTGTGATTGGAGGGAAGCCCAGGCAAAAAGTTATCAAGACCCCATCTGACCCAATAAGCTGGGCATGGTGGTACACATTTGTGATCCCAGCCAAATAGGATTGCAGGCTGAGGCTGGCCCCAGCAAAACACAAGACCCTACCTGAAAAATAACTAAAGCAAAAAGGATTGGAGGCATGGCTCAAGTAGTAGAGTGCCTGCCTAGCAAACCCAGGGCTCTGTGTTCAAGAACCCAGTACCACCAGAAAAAAAGTCTCATCAGTATCCAAGTTTCTGCCAAAAGGAACTAGAAAACAAGATGCAAAATAAATTTAGCCAAACAGAAAGAAGGAAAGATTAATAGAAGTCAGTGAGTTGAAAACAGAAAATAGTAGGGAAAAATCACAGAAACCAGAAGTTGCTTCTTTTTAAAATGTCAATAAAATTGATACAACACCAAAACCGACCAAGATACAGAGAGAGAAGACACAAATAATTTGTATTGGGAATGAGAAAAGAAGTCTAGTACTTACTCTGAAAACATTAAAAGGATCTGTATGCTGAAAACTCAGAGCAACTCCATGCATATGAGTTTGACAATTTAGTTGATCTGGGCTAATTTCTCAAACTACCCACTATCAAAACTCAATCAGGCTGGGTGCTGGTGGTTCACACCTGTAATCCTAGCTACTCAGGAGGCAGAGATCAGGAGGATCGCAGTTTGAACCCAGCCCAGGCAAATAGTTCATGAGACCCTATTTTGAAAATACCCATCACAAAAATGACTGGTTTAGTGGCTCAAGATGAAGGCCCTGAGTTCAAGCCCCAGTTCCACCAAAAAAAAAAATATATATATATGTAGGAAAAAGTAATCTGAGCTAGGTAATCTGAATAATCCTAAAATTATTGAAGAACTTTAAACTTGTAGTTAGAATTCATCCCCAGTTCTATGCTCTCTCTCTTCCAGAAAAAATAAAAATACAAGAAGAAATATTTCTCAACTAATTTTAAGGCCAATATGACCTTGATTTAAAAACCAAAGACTGGGCTGGGCACCAGTGGCCCATGCCTGTAATCCTAGCTACTCAGGAGGCAGAGATCAGAAGGATCACAGTTCAAAGCCAGCCAGGCAAATAGTTCATGAGACCCTACCTCAAAAAACCCTATCACAAAAAATTGGGCTGGTGGAGTGGCTCAAGGTGTAGGCCCTGAGTTCAAACCCTAGTACTGCAAAAAAAGAAGAAAAAGACTGGGATTGGAGGTGTGGCTCAAGTGGTAGAGCACCTGGTTTGCAAACTCAAAGCCCTAAGTTCAAACCCCAGTCCCACCAAAATAAAGAAAAAACAAACAAAAAAAGCAAAGACTGCCAAACATGGTGGCTCAGCTTCGTAATCCCAGCTACTCAGTTGGCAAGGACAAAAGGATCATGAGTTTGAGGCCACCCTATCTCAAAAAACAAGATACAAAACAAAACTTTAAAAAAAAAAAAAAAAAAACAGACTGGAAGACTGGAGAATGTGGCTGGAATTGTAGAGTGCTTGCCTAGAGTGTATGAGGCCTGGGTTCAATCCCCAGTACTGAAGGTAGAGGGAAAGCAACACGAAGACTGTACAAAGGCATTGTGGGTGTAGCTAAGTTTGCTTAGCATATGCAAGACCCTAAATTCAATCCCTGATATCTCAAAATAAAAACCAAAGACTACAAAAAAAAAAACAAAAAAAACTATAAATCAATATCCCTTATGAACATAGACACAAAAATCCTCAACAAAATACTAACAAATCTGGTGATACATAAAAATAATTTGGCTTCTCCAAAAATTAAAAGAATTATTATATAAATTTAAGTAGAATATATAATTACTATAGTCCACTTCTGGGTACACACTGAAAAGTATTAAAGTATATCTCATGGTCAGTTGATTTTTGATAGAGGTGAAAATTCAATGGAGTAATAACCCTTTTCAACAATTAGAGATGCTGGTGCAGCTGGACATCCATAGGCAAAAAGAGTGACCCTTAACCTAAGCCTCACCTCATCAAAATATAAAGCTGTAAAACTTAACAGCAGATTTTTGACTCTTAGCCAAGAGCTCTTTCAGACATGATACCCAAAAGATAGTATATGAAAGAGAAAATGGCCAGTGCCAGTGGCTCACAACTGTAATCTTAGCTACTTGGGAGGCTGAGATTGGGAAGATCTTTGAGGCCAGCCTGGACAAACTGTTTCAGAGACCCCACCTCCAAAATAACCAGACCAAAATGGACTAGAAGTGTGGTTCTAGTGGTAGAGCACCTGCTTCATGAACTCAAAGCCTTGAGTTCAAACCCCAGCCTCACCAAAAAAAAAAAAAGTTAATAGTCAAGAAGGCATCCAGGTACCCATGGCTCATACCTGTAATCCTATCTACTCAGAAGGCAGGGATCAGGAGGATCAAGGTTCAAAACCACACCTGGGCAGATAGTTTGCAAGACCCTATGAAAAAAAAAAAAAAACACCACAAAAAAGCGCTGGCAGAGTGGCTTAAGCAGTAAGAGCAGCACCTGCCTAACAAGCAGGAGGTCCTGAATTCAAACCCCAGTACCACCAAAAAAAATAAGTCAAAAAAGCAATAATAGTTTATTTTGTTAGCATTTCTTTCATATTTTATTTACTTTCACATGACTCTTAGCTTGAACTTTACTCAATCATAGAGATCAGAAGATGGTAACTAAGAGAAATTGAAGCCCGGCATGGTTGTGCACACATGCCTATAATTCCAGCAGTTGGAAGGTGGGGGAAAGTTTGAGAACCAGATTGGGCTATATATTGAGACTGTGTCTCAAAAAAAAAAAAAGAGAAAGAGCAAGAAATTGTTAATTTAAGGAAGCATCAAAAAGAATGCTTTATGGGTTTGATCCCAGTACTGAAAAAAAAAAAAGTGCTTTATATAAGATTCACTTAATTTCCTAAACAAAATTGTCTTTTTTAAGAAATGTTTTGGGAATCTACAGTTGTTTAACCTATTGTTTCTCCCCACAGCAAGACAGATCGGCTTGCCAAAGGATCAGAATGTTACCAAAAGAGCCTTAGTTTAAATCCTTTCCTCTGGTCTCCATTTGAATCATTATGTGAAATAGGTAGGCTTGTGGGGGTGGTGGGAAATGATTCACCCTGCCCTTTTTTGGGAATTTTTTTCTTTCTTTTTGCCTGCTTAGAAGTAAATTAGAATCATATAATTCAGGAATAATGTGACTTCCTATTACTCGATCCCCAAAGATTAAATTCACTGGTCTCCTCTGTTTTATCTAGTTTACCTTATATATATATCTTGTATCCTCTAAAATACATTATGTATGTTAACACTAGCCAGAATCAGTTTCTGGATGAAAAAAGAAACTAAAAGGATTTCTAAAGAAATTAATAGTGTGCCTGGAGCAGAAACTGTTAGATGACAATAGATTTGACAATATATAGAGTGTCTCAATATATATGCTCTAAGATGCATAAAGGGTCATTTTAAAGTCTGTATACAGAGAAGTGCTTCAGTCTATTACTGTAATATCTACTGGTCCACCTTCTTCCTTGAGAGAAATAAGATCTGCTTGCTTTCTGCTTTAAAACAAACACAGAGATGAAGGTGTGGCTCACACAGTAGAGTACCTGCCTTATAAGCACCAAGCCCTGAGTTCAAACTCCAGTACCACCAAAAAAACCCCACAGAAATCTGCATTTTCCTGTGATTTATTAAAAGTAGTGTCTAAACAGTTTAGTTTATTTTCTAAATTTGCATCTTTATCTTAAGGGCTAACTGTTACAATAAGTTAATGGATTGGGTTTTGGGAAGTAAATTTGATTAGCAAAAATGGATGAGATTTTAACACTTATTTCTATTTAATTATGCATATTTGAAATAAAAATTATTCCTCAGAAGCAAACATGTTATTTGTTTCTTTGGTCTTCACAGGTGAAAAGCCAGATCCTGACCAAACATTTAAATTAACATCTATACAGAACTTTAGCAACTGTCTGCCCAACTCTTGTACAACACTAGTATCTAATCATAGTTTATCCCATAGACAGCCTGAGACAGTTCTTACGGAAACACCCCAGGACACAATTGTAAGTGTATCTGCTCTAATGTTCAAGATACTATGAAAACCAGAAAGTATGATCTGAGCTAAATGATGTATCATAAGTGACATGGTAGAAATTTTCTGTTTCAGGAATTAAACAGACTGAACTTAGAATCTTCCAATTCAAAGTACTCCTTGAATACAGATTCCTCAGTGTCTTACATTGATTCAGCTGTAATTTCACCAGATGCTGTCCCTCTTGGAACAGGCACTTCAATATTATCTAAACAAGTTCAAAATAAACCAAAAACTGGTCGAAGTTTATTAGGAGGACCAGCTGCTCTTAGCCCATTAACCCCAAGGTAAGTTAAACAAAAGTTACTTTAAAATGGGTTGTGATGTTAAGTAATGTTACAATTTGTATTACTAGTTATATAAACAAATATGAACAGCAGCTTCCCAAATCACTGTGGAAAAGAGGCATTCTGTTTTCAGAAAACAAAGTGAAAGAAATATAGCACATGTGATTTAAAATTAATTTTTTTTGCAGTACTGGGGTTTTGAGCTCAGTGCATGCTAGGCAAGCACTACAACTTGAGCCACACCCAAACAAAAATTTTAAGATTAAATGTTGAAGAAAATTTAAAAACTCTTAAATATACTAATTAAGGTACCTTTGATACACCCTTTATGGTATGATACACATACTATACACATAGGTATGATACAACCTTTGTGGAAGTTTGTCGGTGGTGGGGGGGTTAGTGTGTGGTTCAAGTGTGGAGTTACCTGCCTGACCAACTCCAGTACCAGGTTAAAAAAGAAAAAAAGTGTGTGTGTGCGTATATATATGTATGTATACGTATAAATACAGGAACCAGAGGGTACATATCAAAAGTATCAAAAAAAAATTATCTGCTAGAATAGACTATAGGGTTTCAGAGCCAGGGAACTACTAAAATAGCAGCACTGAGCATTTGATTATCTTCAGAGACCGTTTGTTGATTATATTGATACAATTTTTAGGTAATTATCCAATAGTCACTGTCTCCATAATTTTCTTAAGTTCCTTGGATTCCAAATTTAATATAAAAAACCATTCTATTTCTAATAAATCTCCTAAAATCAATAGTTGTTGCTCAATTTAATTCCTTGTTTGATTTTTAAAAGATTTTTACTTACAGTGGGTGGAGTAGTCTACATACATTCATAGCTTATTTTTAATCTGCCCCTTAGATCCTCATTGTCCCCAAGACTGATTTGCCATTCTCTTCCTTTTAGACCTTCTAATTTAAGTATACTGCTGCTTTATATATGCCTTGATGACTTTTTGACACCTTGATTTCAACCTCTTCTCAGTTTTGGGATTTTGCCATTAGAAACCCCAAGCCCTGGAGATGGATCCTATTTACAAAACTACACTAATACACCTTCTGTAATTGACGTGCCATCTACCGGAGCCCCTACAAAAAAGGTATTTTCCATGAAAAATGCAGTTTTGGTATTGATTAAAGAAAGTTACTTAAAATTCCATTCTGTAAAGGTAATTTCGGAGAGACTCCATCTTTATATAATAGTTCTTGCCTTGGCTACTATATAGCCTAGGCTAGCCTCGAATGCATGATCTTCTACCTCAGCCTCCCTAGTTCTGGGATTATAGGAATATACTGCCACCTCCACCTCCAATTTCTTTTTTTTTAAACAAAATTGTTTGTTGTTCCCTCAAATATAAGTAGCAGAAATTATGTCTGCCATCATTTTTACTTTTTCCCACTTCTGTGTGTATGTTATTGTTTTAGGATTTTATTTTTTTGTGGGTTTGTTTTTTTGGAGGGGGAGTGTTGTTATCTTGGATTTGGGAGGGCAGGTTGTAGTGCTAAGGATCAGAGCTTTAGGCATGCTAGGCAAGTGCTGCACCACTGAGATACTCCAGCCTATGTTTTTATAACTCTAATAATTAACATTTAAAACACGTTTAGATAAGCCACGTATTTCTGATATTTTTGTAATGAATCCTCATAAGCACATACTAAAAATAAAAAAATTAATAGTATCCTTAAACTGCAACAAGTTTTTGAGACTTTTTATAGTATTCTTTTATATAGGTATATACCAGTCAAGGCTGTTTGTGTCAAGTGTATCTGTGGTGCCAGGGTATTTTCCATAAATTCGGTTGTATATATAAGAGCCTATTAGCGTACTTAATAGATGTTCAAGAAATGGAATCTAACTAAGTCATACTAGTATATGGATAAACAGCCATCGAAACATGTTTCCTGTTTTCTACTTTCATTCCTGAATGTCCTGAGTCTGCAGATTTTTATCTATAGCAGCTCCTTAGTGAGTAGTGATAGGAACTCCAAGAGTAATAAAAAGTCATTTATGTAAGAATTGTTTTAAACCTGATTTTTTTTTTAAAGGTTGAAAACTAGCTACTGTTGTATTATTAGGGAAGTGAACTGTAATTGTAGCATGTAGTTTATTATAGCTATGAAGAACGTAGACTACTAGAATGGTTAGCATGCCAGGCAGAGTAAGCCAAAACCAGACGAGCCTTAGTAATCCGATGACAAGTTAGGCAGTAAACAGGTATGTGATTTCAGTGCCCCAATAATAAAAACCACCTTCTGCCTCACCCTCTTCTGTGTCTTACCCTATTACAAGACATTCCCAGAAAGTTGCATGTATATCTACATGCAGTATCAACTCAAAGTTTCAAGCCAAGTAGTGAGTGCAGAATATAGTTCTTTATTTTTTAAAAATTGCATATATTAATTGTGCAAAGGGGTTTCATTGTGATATTTCCATACATGCATATAATGTATTTAGCTCAAATTCACCCCTCTAGAGCAGAATATAATTCTTTGGTAAATAAGGCAGGACCAGAATTGACTAAAATTTGTCTCCTGGGAGCTGAGGATGTAACTTAGTGATGGAGTTCTTCTCTAATACATACAAGCCCTGGGATCAATCCCCAGCACCAACATACACACACACACACACACACACACACACACACACACACGCACGCACAAAAACACAGACAAACATGCACATTTGTCTCATGGCTGAAGGTAGAGGCCCAACTTAGGAAGGAAAAGGAAGGGTTATGAAGTTTTGAAGGTGTTAGTAAATTAGGTGAAAATATTCAGTGGATAGTCAGAGGAAAGAATATACTGGGTAATAGAAGTAATAAATGTTCCAGATCTCCTAGTGAAAATTAATAGAACTAATTTGGAAAATTAGTTTGGAAAATGATCAGATGATTTTAAAAATACATATGTTCCTCTGAAATCCTATAGAATTGTTTTACTAAGTGCCAAAGGAGAAATATAAAATCTTAATGTATTATTTTCATGTATAGCAAATTAAATCATAAATACTGAGAATAGTACCTATCTTAAAATTTTTAGTACTTATCCCCAAATACAGAAGATATGTAATAAATGGAGTATGAGCACAATGCAATAAAAAGAACAGCTTCTGGAAATTTTGAGTCTTACCTTTGAAACTAGAATGACAGATGAAAGGACAGTAGAGAAGTAAAAATACCCTGAAGTTAAAGTCTTCATATAGATATAAGAATTAATAATAATGACATAAATAATGATATTAATAGTTAGTGTTTTAAGGTAACAGCATATATTATAAACTCTCATTGGGAAAGTGTAGATGGGAGCATCTGGAGTCTTTTATCATTTGTGATGCAATCTGTAATCACAAACTTTAGACTTTTTGTGTTTTACAGTCTGTTGCCAGAATGGGCCAAACTGGAACAAAGTCTGTCTTCTCACAGAGTGGAAATAGTCGAGAGGTCACTCCAATTCTTGTTGCACAAACACAAAGTTCTGGCCCACAAACCAGGTATTTATTATGGTGTCATCAGTTGTATTGTTTAGCTTTTCTTGTTGTAAAACTTGATTCTTTATATTTCTTCAGTTTAGGCAGGTGTTGACTCTCTCAAGAATTCTAGAGTAATCCTAACTACTTGGGAAGTGGAGATCTGGAAGACAGAAGTTTGGGGCCAGCCTGGGCAAACAAAAAATTCCAAGACCCCATCTTAACAAATGGCTGGGCATACTGGGTATACCTGTCATTCCAGCTACACAGGGAAGCACAAATGGGAAGATTGTCATCCAGGCTGGCACAGGCATTAAAGTGAGACCCTATCTCAAAAATAACCAAAAAGTGCTGGTGGAATGGTTCAAATGGTAGAGTGCCCCCCCCCAAAAAAAATTGAGAGTAGCTAATACAGTTTTAGTATGTAAAATTTGAAATGTGTAACATACTTTAAGAACTATATAATTTTTAATGGAGTTTCACTGAGCAAATAAGACAGGTAGGTAAAATATCTTTTGAGTTTACTCTAAGTTCCTCATGGATTTATTTAAGTAGATAATCTGAATACTCCTTCACAAATGGGAAGATTGTCATCCAGGCTGGCACAGGCATTAAAGTGAGACCACTATCTCAAAAGTATAACCAAAAAGTGCTGGTGGAACTGGTCAATGGTAGAGTGCCCCCCCCAAAAAAAATTGAGAGTAGCTAATTACAGTTTTAGTATGTAAAATTTGAAATGTGTAACATACTTTAAGAACTATATAATTTTTAATGGAGTTTCACTGAGCAAATAAGACAGGTAGGTAAAATATCTTTTGAGTTTACTCTAAGTTCCTCATGGATTTATTTAAGTAGATAATCTGAATACTCCTTCAAAATGGTATTCTTCTTTCACACATCACCTTCTCTGTAGATCAAGGTTTCATTGTCCCCTCCCCACATTATTCCTATCTATAGAAGTCTTAAAACAGACAAATAGGTATATGTACCTTGTCTATGTACAAGGCCTCAGTGGTCCTGCAATTTGAGAGTGATAATTCTAATCATGAATGCCAACGTGCAGGCAGTGATTACCTAGAACTCTGTTATAAGAGGGAACTTGAAGCCCGTGCTGGTGACTCATGCCTGTAATCCTAGCTACTTGAGAAGTTGAAATCTGGAGGATCACAGTTCAGAGTCAACCCAGGCAAATAGTTTGTGAGACCCCCAGCTCCAAAATAACCAGAACAAAATGGGCTGGCGATGCAGTTCAAGCAATAGAATGCCTGCTTAGCAAGCTCAAGGCCCTGAGTTCAAACATCAGTATTTACCTCCCACAAATATAAAGGAACTTGAGACCTCCTACAAAGCAGCATTATATAGGACGAGTATATGCTAATCCTAGATGATATATAAACATAAGTCTAATGTACAACATTTTGCCAGGCATGATGATACACACCTGTAATCCCAGGAGGCTGAGGCAGGAGAATTGAGAGTTCAAGACCAGCCTGGACTACATAGCAAGCTTGACCCTACTTTGTAAACAAAATAAAACAATAAACAAGTATATTTCACTTAGATCTAAACAAATACACTAACTATAATAAGCATCAATACTGATATCTTTGTGTTTTTATCTTGATTTTAATTTTACAGGCTTTATTGCCCCTATTCCTTTTTTTTGTTTTTTCCTTTTTTTATAGTGAATTTTGTTATGCTATTTTCAGACATATATTATGCACTTTGATCATAGGCATCCTTTACCCTCTCCTTTCACCTCTCCATTCCTACTGGTTCCCCCAACCAAATAGCCCCTCTTTTAGAATCATGTTATATTATTATCATCATTTTAGATCTAGATTTGCATATGAGCAAAACATATGATATTTGTTTATATATATGTGTTTGAGTTTGTCTTATCATGCTCAACATCATGGTCTCCAGTTCCATTCATTTTCCTACAAGTGACTTAATTTCATTCTTCTTTATGGCTGAATAATACTCTATTATGTATCTATATACTGCAATTTCGTCATCTATTCATTGGTTGTCAGGCATCTGGACTAATTCCATAACTTGGCTAGTGTGAATAGTGCTGCAGTACACATAGGTGTACAGGTGTCTCTTTCACATGTTGACTTACACTCTTTCAGATTGTATGCCCAAGAGTGGTATAGCAGTCATACAGTAGTTCTATTTTTTGTTTATTAAGGAGTGGCCATACTGATTTACATTCCCACCAATAGTGTATAGAGTCCTACTCCCATCCTCCACATCCTTGCCTGCATTTGTGGTTGTTTTCTTGATGAGAGCCATTCTGATTGGGGTGAGATGGAATCTCAATGTCTTTTGTTTTGCATTTCCTTTATGGCTAAGTATGTTGAACATATCTTCATGTATTTTTTGGCGATTTGTGCTGCTTTTTTTTTTTTGAGAACTGCCTGTTCAATTCATTTGCCCATTTATAATTACTATTCTTTTGGTGTTTTAATTGGTTATGCTCTTTATATATTCTGGGTGTTGATTCTTTGTCTGATGAATAGATTGCAAAGATTTTCTCCCATTTTGTGAATGTCTCTTCATTCTAGTCATAGTTGCCTTTGCTGGACAGAAGCTTTTCAATATGATGCAATCCCACTTGTCAGTTCTTATTTCCTAAGCAGTTGGAGTCCTATTCAGCAAGGTGTTACCTTTGTCTAGATCTTCACGTGTTTTTCCTGTGGTTTCCTGTACAGTCAACCTTTCAGGTCTTATGCTAAGACCATTTTGAATTGACTTTTTGTATAGGAATCTAGTTTCAGTCTTCTAACTAGATATGTGGATATCCAGTTTTCTCAACACCATTTGTTGAAGAGGCTGTCTTTTTTCCAATGTATGTTTTTGTCTCCTTTGTCAAAAATGGGATGTCTGTAGCTATGTGTGTTTATTTCTGGCTCTTCTGTTTTATGCCATTGTTCTGTGTGTCCTTTTTCTTTGGTGCTGTGTTGTTTTTGTTACTGTTTCTCTGAAGAATGGCAATGATTCCTATGGGGATTGCATTGAACCTTTCAGTAGAATAGCCACTTTTGCAATATTAATTCTGCCAGTCCATAAACATGAGAGGTTGTTCCACCATCTAGTGTCTTCTTTTCAGTTTCTTTATTCAGTGTTTTATAGTTTTCATTGTTGAGATCTTTCTTCATCTCCTTAGTGAAGTTTATTCCTAGAGTCTTGGTTTTTGGTAAGGCTACTGTGAATGGGATTGTTTTCCTGATTTCTTTTCAGCCTGTTCCTTGTTGGTATATAGAAAAGCTACTGATTTTTGTATGTTTATTTTGTATTGAATTCATTTTCTAGTGCTGGTATAATAAAGTTCAGGTTGAACATCCTCGATTCAAAAATCCAAACTGCTCTGAAATCTGAAACTTTTCTGAATGCCAACATAATACAAAAAGTTTCAGATTTTGGAGCAGCCTGCAAGTTTGAAATTAAGGTGTTGGTTGGGTTGTTTCCCTCCAAAATCTGTTAAGGAAGGACCCTTCTTTGTTAAGTCCAGCCTCTGATAACCCAGGCCTTCCTTGGCTTATGACAGCGTAATTCACTATCTACCTCTGTCTTCACATAACCATTTTTCCTTTGTATGCCTGTATCCAGATTTCCCCCTGGATAATAGTGACATCAGTCATTCTTAATAACCACCTTAATAACTTCATCTTAAATTGCAGATTACATTTGCAAAGATCCCATTTTCCAAATAAGTCATATTCATTGGTTAGGATTTAGCATATCTTTTTGAGATGCTCAATTCAGCATTGCCTTATTACCAGTTCAACATTGCCTTATTAGCAATTTTCTCTTTTTAAAGTTATCTTTAGGGCTTATAGTATACATTTTAACTTATAAAATGTGTACCTTCAATTACTAAGCCATTCCACATATATTGTAAAGCTGTCTAGCAGTTTATTTTCATGCTTTTTTGCTCGATCTGTATGGGATTGTGGTAACAATAACATAACATATATACTTGTATATATGTTATATGCCCCACAGTGCATTGTCATCTCTACCTTTCATGGCCAGTAATCTTTTTCATGTTTACCCACATATCTACTGTTTCTGGCACACTTTCTGTGGATCCAAATTTCAAAGAATTACTCTCATTTTTCTTAGTCTCAGCAGAGTTTGTCTGCCTACTGAGTAGCTAAAACCACAGATATGTGTACCCCATTCCCAACTTGAGTTTTGTTTTTTTGTTTTGTTTTTGGTCTGACTGAGGTTTGAACTCAGGAGTTCTCACTCACAAAGTATGCTTAAGCCACACCTCTTGTCTATCTTTCTGTGGAGATGGAGTCTTATGAACTATTTGCCCAGTCTGGTCTTGAATCTCAGTCCTATTGATCTCAGCCTCTCAAGTAGGTAGGATTAAAGGTATGAGCTATCAGTGCCCAGCCCAGCTTGATTTTGAGGTAGGATCTCAATAACTTTTGTCTGGACTGGCTTCAAACTGATCCTCCTGTCTCTGCCTCCTGAATAGCTGGGATTACAGGGTGTACCACTACACCACCTAGGCTAGAATTTCTAATTGATAGTTTTTATTCTTTAAAAAAGATGTTCCTTTATTTTCTTCTGCCTTATATTTTTTTAAAGAGGCAGTAGTTTTTAATTACATAATTTTAGTCCTGCTTTTGAACTATGTTCATCTTCAAGAGACTGTTTATATTGGTATCATAAGAAAGCCTAAACTGAGCAGGGCATAGGTGATGCACTTCTAAAATACCAGCACCTGGGCTACATAGGGAGACCATATATCAAAAAACAAGTCATGACTGAAAAAAATAAATAAAAAAAGAGAGAGAAGAAAGTCTAAACTTTATCAAATAAATGGCATCTCTATAAATACCATTGTTTCTCTGATCCACATAGTAAGGAAAAGGAAAGATTTTCTCTCACTGTTCATTACTGTAGCTGTGTCTTAGTAACTTAATGATTGAACAGGTACTACTTGTAATGTGTTAAATCACTCCTGAAAAACACTTTTGGAGGCTGGCAGAGTGGCTCAAGTGGTAAGAGTGCCTGCCTAGAAAGTACGAGGGAAGTAGTAGATACTGCATACAACTGTAGGGGGCATGAATCTGGGTATTCCCAGGTCTCTATCATGCTTGACTATTTCCCCCAAAAGAAGCAGGCACTGTTACCTCTTGGTGAGTATTTTTGGGGCTGTGCTTTAGCTGCCTGGCTCCCAATCCCCAATTCCTATAGCCATCACACTCAGATCATTAACCTTTACCTTCAAGTAAATGACCATTACTGGTTATTAGTGTTTCCAGATCTTTTCTTGTTGGTATTTTTTTTACTCCACTGGGGCCCATCTTGCTCCTTGTCATGGAGGACTTAAGAAGGGATAAATTTGATAGTTTGGTGGTATAGATGTCTACTGTCATTCTCTTTTTTGATCCTCTAATATGTAACTGTCTTTTCTCTAGTTTAACATCTTGCCACTAATTTCAAGCCGTTTAATTATGATATGCTTTGTTGTAGTTTTCTTCTGTCTCTCAGTCATCATTTGTTGAGCTGCCTGGATCTGTGGGTTTATAAATTTTCATCGTATTTTGCTAATTTTTGTCCATTGTTTCTACAAATATTTTTTTTCTCTGTTCTCATTCCTTTCTGGAACTCTAAATACAAGCATATTAAATTTCTTGAAGTTATCCCACAGTTCATTAATACTCTTAATTTTTGTTTCCACTCTTTTTCCTCTCATGTTTCATTTTGGATAATGTTTATTACCATGTCTTCCAATTAATCTTTCTTCTGTAGTGTTAATCTGTTAGTCTCTTCCAGTGCTTTTTGTTGTTTTTTCTCACATTCTTTTTTCATGTAGAAGTTTGATTTGGTTCTTACCTGCCTAAGCTTTCTTCTCCCTTTTTGAACATATGGAATGAATATATGTATTACTTTGTTTGGTTTATTTGGTTTTGTTGTTTGGTTGGTGTCACAATGTAGCCCTGGCTGACTTCTGATTCACTGGAATCCTCCTGCCTCAGCCTTCTGACTGCTGGGGTTTACAGGCAGTACCACCACGCCTGGCTCTGAAATATATTTACATTAATTCTCTTAGTGTAATAGTTTTTAATACATAATAATTCTTGCCTCTAAGTCTGTTACTGTGTCATTTCTAGTTCTGTTTCTACTTCATTGCTTTTTCTCTTCTTTATGGTTTATATTTTCCTGTTTCTTCATATGCTAAATGTTTAGATTCCAGTTGTAAATTTTACACCATTGAGTACTGAATTGTTAAGAAAATATTCCTTTAGGTATTTCTGACTTTTGTTCTGGGATGTAGTTAAGTTACTTGGAAACAGTTTGATCCTTTTAAGTCTTCCTTTTTAAGTTTTGTCAGGTGGGACAAGAGCAGCCTTTAATCTGGACTAATTTTGCTCCACTATTGAAAACAGTACTCTTTGAATACTCTACTAAGTTCTCTATTTAGCATAAAGTTTCTCCCCTCTGCTTATGGAAACTCTGAGCAATTCCCAGTTGGGTGTCCTCTGAGTGTTCTTCTGCCTGCTCCTTTCTAGTAGTTCTTTTCCCAGTTTTGTGTCATTTCTTCACTGCAATACAATTCTGATGCTGTTCATCTAGACTTATACAGATTCCACAGGTTAAGGTTGCAGTCCCCAGCAAGAATGGTCTGAACTATCCTCAATTCAGACATCAGTTTTACAGATATGGAGTTGTCCACGCTACCTGCTTTTCTGACTGCTCATGTTCAGTAATTTTCTAAAACAAGTCACAGAATCCAGGAAAGTGCTTATACATAAAATTACAGTTTTATTGTAAAGGGTACAAACCAGAACCAGATAAATGAAGAGATCCATAGAGTGAGGACTTAGGAGAGTCCCAAACATATCTTTTGTGTTTTCCTCATGGAATCAGTTCACATCACCCTCCTGGTACATCAGTATGTTTACAAACCAAGAATTTCAACTAAACTCTGATGTTCTAAGTTTTTATGGGAGTTTAATTATATAAAGAGTGACTGTGGAGTCACTGGGCACATGAAACTCAGTCACCAGCCATCCTGCACTTCCTGGAGGTGGTCAAAGCCTCAATCCAGGTGCATTGAGGATCTTCCCAGGGTGACCAGCCCCATCATTTTCTCCACATAAATTGTCTCCTAAAACTCATTTCTGTAAATTTTCAAAGTATTTTTTTCCATCCTCTTTTTTGTTATTGTTGTTCTTGTTTTTTGTTTTGTTTTGTTTTTTGGTGGTAGTGGGGTTTGAACTCTGGACCTCACTTGATCTACTTCACCAGCCCCAAGTGTATTTTGTTGTTGTTGTTGTTTTTTCTTAACTAATAGAATGTGTTTTATTTTAAAAACAAAAAACAATGATACTATTTACACAATCCTTTTAAGTAGCACATAATCACATATGCCTAATGATAGTGGTAGAGCCTGATTGTATACCTTTTCAGTCTGAGTCCAGAGCATACTTCTTTCATTGTCAGACTCCTGGTTAACAAAATACAAATTATAAGGTTTCATACATTGATCATATGAAATAAATAAATACACACATTTTTCTTTAACTCAGAATTCTGCTTTATTTTTCTGGTGCCTCAGTCTTTGGGAGTTTTTATGTATTTTATGTTTGTTTTGGGTTTTTTTTCTTCTCATATAAAGTGGACCTTTGGAGATAACAGAGTTCTAATAAAGATTATAAGAAGAGTTTGTCTTCTCTAACCGCCAGCCCTAGAACCCTCTGTTTTCACTTCTGCCTCCACAAGATTTGTGTTACCCTCATGTATCTTCTGACCATTGAAAGCAATCTCAGCAACATTTGTCCTCCCTATAAGTTACCCCAAGCAATGAAATTATTCCTTCCCACTTGGCAAAACTTTTTTTCTATAATTATGTAATCGTATTGACAAAATGCAATTCACATTTGTAGTATAAATGTAAATGGTTATTTTTACCAAATACAGGTTATTATACTTTTTAAAATGAGTTGGGGGGTGACAGAGTGGCTCAAATAGTAGAGAATCTGCCTAGCAAGGGCAAGGCCCTGAGTTCAAACCCTAGTACCACCTCAAAAAGAAAAAAAAAAAAGAATTGGTTAACTCAAATGTTCTTGCTTCTTAAAATCACTACATTGGGGCGCTCTCCTTTGAAAGTATTAAGATAGCTCTAGACTTGCTTCACTCACTGGTCAACATTTATTTTTAGAGACTTCTTTGATCCACACTTGGATAACTAGTAAGATTCCCTGTAAGTTACAAATGGTTTGGTCTATAAACTTAACTACTCTTAATTAGATCGTTTCTGTTTTTAAGTTTGTGTGCTTTCTAAGAATGGAATTCTTCTATCTTAGGGTTTACCTTTAAGGTAAAGAATGTGTTCAGGTGACCATCAGATCCAGATTGTTCTAACTAGAATGCACCTTTGATATAGCTGTTTGAATTTACAGTTATTCTGGTAATAATTATTTGTTAACAAATACCTCACATTTAAAGGATTTATACTCAACTGTCTTTTCCTTTTTCCCTAAGTTTTTGTGGTGCAAATGAGGTTTGAAGGTAATTGGTTTATAGATGTGCTTATCATTTATTGACCCAGAATTGTTTTAAGTTCAAGTGACCAAGTTTAGTCAGAGTGAAGATCTATGCTATAATCTATCATTTTATAGTAATATCAATGGTTTTTTTGTTTTGTTTGTGGTACTGGGGTTTGAATTCGGGGCCTATACCCTGAGCCTCACCATCAGCCCACCCCCTTTTTTTTTTTTTTTTCCCTCGGTACTGGGGCTTGGGTACAGAGAACCTATACCTTAAGCCACTCCACCAGCCCTTTTTTTGTGTGTTAGGTATGTTTTAGATAGGGTCTCAAGAACTGTTTGCCCAGGCTGGCTTCGAACTGTGATTCTCCTGATCTCTGGCTCCTGAGTAGCTAGGATTCCAGGCGTGAGCCACTGATGCCCAGCTTATGTGAATAGTTTTTAAATGGTGAGTTTTCATAGTAGGACCGGGAAGTGACTGACCATTATCAACTTTAGAGCACTTCTGTGATAAATGCATATTTTTTAATAGGGCAGAGTTGAAACAATAGTTAATGGTCATAAACTGAATGCAAAATAAATGTCTTTTATAATTTTTTTAGTACAACACAGTCCTGCATCCTAAACATGGTGATTGATTGCAAATCCATCCATGTGATAAAATTACATAGATGCAAAGGAGTTCCTAGAAAAAGAGAGAGATCCAAATGAGTTCTGCAGTTCGGTTCATGGTATTGTGTTCCAGTTTCCTGAACATGATGATATAATTCTGGTTATATCACATGGTATCATTTTAGAAAGCTTAAGTGGAAGTTCTTCTATATTTTCTTTCCATCTTATGAGGCAAAATTATTTCAGAGTTAAAAATTTTAAAAGTTAGAGGACTTCACTATGCCTTTGGTAAATTTTCTTGGTCCAGTGACAGACATGGATGGTGTTTGGCATATTGAGATCAACAATTTTATGATTTATCAGCTATAATGCTCTGAGACATTATATGGTATTACTTCTGCTTATTTTTAAGTAACTGAGAGTATGATATACTTTCATAAAGAGAACACTTAATGCACACTCACCCTAATCACTGTAGCTAATACAACTTATGTTTAGAATTGTTGCATTTTAAGTTAAATGACTTAGAAGACTTATAAAATTTCTTCTCAGAAAAATATAGATTAACCAAGACTGTACATTTATCTTATATCTAATATTGAGAAAAGGTTAAAGGAAAAGTGTAAAGTACATAGTATAAAAACTATGAAATTTTACCCTCTTTTATAGGAGAATAGCAAAAAATTAAAAATGAAGTTTCCACCTAAAATCCCAAACAGAAAAACAAAAAGTAAAACTAATAAAGGAGGAATCACTCAACCTAACATAAATGATAGCCTGGAAATTACAAAATTGGACTCTTCCATCATTTCAGAAGGGAAAATATCCACAATCACACCCCAGATCCAGGCTTTTAATCTGCAAAAAGCAGCAGCAGGTCTGTTTTAAATGCTTAAAATCTTCTATATTTTATTTTATTATGCACTTTAAATAAATTTCTTGGGGTTCATTGCAATGTCTTTATTGTTTCTAGATAGATATCAGAATTTTTAATGGATTAGCTTTCTAGAAAACCAAATTTTTATTGTTTTTCTCCTTTGTTTACTATATCATTTTCTCCTAGAAGGTTTGATGAGCCTTCTTCGTGAAATGGGGAAAGGTTATTTAGCTTTGTGTTCATACAACTGTAAAGAAGCTATAAATATTTTGAGCCACCTACCTTCTCACCACTACAATACTGGTTGGGTACTGTGCCAAATTGGAAGGGCTTACTTTGAACTTTCAGAATACATGCAAGTAAGTATAGAAACAGTTATATGTGCATTTCTAAAAAAAAAAAGTTTCATTAAAATACTCATGCTTGAAAAGGGTAGATCTTTAAAAAGTCAGTATTATGTAATATTCATACCCTATAAATGCAGAGAGATATTTATCATTGAAAATCTTTTTACACTATACAGCATTATATACTGAGGTGAATTTATGGCCTTAATATGTTTATTTATGTATATAAATATATGTAATTTTTTGGTACTGGAATTTGAACTCAGGCCTCTGCGCTTGCTAGATAGGCACTCTACCACTTGAGCTACACCTCCAACCCTACCTTTTTTTTTTTTTTTTTTTTGGTACGGGAGTTTGAACTCAGGGCCTTCACTTCACTCCACCATCCCTATTTTTGTGATGGGTTTTTTCAAGATAGGGTCTTGTGAACTGTTTGCCTAGGCTGGCTTTGAACCGTGATCCTCCTGATCTCTGCCTCCTGAGTAGCTAGAATCACAGGCGCAAGCTGCCAGCGCCTGGCCCAGCCCTGCCAGTATGTTTTATAAACTTGAAGAATCCTATGAAGAAAATTGTATTTAATTGAGGACATGATGTACTTATCATAAGGTTTTTATTCTTTTAATTTTAATTAAATTTGTTGCTTAAGTTATTTTGTTATATGAGAAGAAGAAGAAAATTATAATTTCCAATAGAATTATTTAAAGTTGACAAAGTTACTTGGGATTTTTTTGTTGTTTTTGTTGTTTATTTGTAGTTCATTTATTCAGCATGTATTTTGGTATGTGTTAGGTACTAGGTTGTCTTCTAGACTATCTAATACAGCTAGACAGACAATATTGCTTCCCTGGAGCATATTACATTGTAATAAAGACAGATTGTAAGCCAATAAATGTGTAAGGACAGGTAGCTGGAAGTCATATAAAGAAAAAAATGAAGCATGGCAAGGAAACTAAGGGACAGTGAAAGTATGTGCTATTTGGGTTTTTTATTTTCCTTTTTTTTTTTTTTTTGTGGCACTGGGTTTGAACTCAGGGCCTCATGGTTGCTAGGTAGGCACTCTACCACTTAAGCCACTCTGCCAGCCCTGGGGTTATATTTATTTATGTATTTATTAATTATTTCTGGCAGCACTGGGTTTGAGCTCAGGACCTCACGCTTGCTAGGCAGACAGGCTACCACTTGAGGCACTGCCTCAACGCCACCATTTGTTTTTTAAATATGCTCAGAGAAAGAAGGCTACTCCTCCCTTCCTGAGCCATGCAAAGAAATGGAAGAGTGTTCTTCCAGATAGAGAATGAGTCCAGGAAATATGTATTAGTATATTTTATATAGCATCAAAAAGAGGGATGCCTGACTCATTGTTAGAAGGCCTATATTGGGATTAGGGCTATTTATTGGTACATAGTGCATATACAGAAAGGTAAAAGCTATGCTTGCTTGGAAATGCTTTTCAAAGTTATTTTTGAAGTTACTGTTTCATAGTACTACAAAATACGTGAATATTATTGTTATCCTTAAAAGGCAGTGACCCAAATAATTAAAGAAAACCTTTTTTCACCTTCAAATTTTTTTAATCTATTTTTCATTTTGTCTATACTGGTCACCTTTAAAGGAAGCTATAGATTCTGAAAAAATTTGAAACCAAAAGGTACCTGTATTTGGCTGATGGTCAGGTCCGCCATCTTACAACCACAGTTCCCAGTTTTGTAAATGTCATTTCCATAAGAACAGTGCAGCTATTCCTTATTCTGTACTAAACTGACTTGGACAATTTTGAACTTGCTAAGTTGATAAACTAAGAAAATAATTGGTTCTATATAACCTAAATCTCAGACTTTGGGTGGAAAGAAGCACAGTTCTAGAAGCTGTGTGTATGACTAGGAAAGAATATGACCTGACTGCCTAGGACAGACATACAGGGATTGCAAATAGTACGATACTAATGCTTAACATGCCATAGGGGTGGTAGCGCCATTTTACCCTGTTTTCTCCCGAAAGTTTCCAACTCAGACTCAGAATTCAGTGCAGGGGCTTATGCTTCAGATGTCATTCTTCCAAGACAGGTGCAGTAGCTCACTCCTGCAATTCCAGCCACTTGAGAAGGATAAGTAGGAGAATTGTGGTCCGAGGCTGGCCGGGACAAAATGTATGAGACCCTATCTGAAAAACAGCTAAAGCAAAAAGGGTCAGGTGTATGGCTTAAATGGTAGAGTACCTGCCTAGTGAGCTCAAGGCCCTGAATTTAAACCCCAGTACCATCAAAAGAAAAAAAAGGTTAAATGTGGATGTGATTACAACAGTATTTGACTTTCGACAAAAGATTGCTCATGTCCTTGTCCTTGTATTATTTCTAATTCACATAAAAGTCATAATTACAAGGCAGCATTTACATCCTGTGAAGACCGTGATCTATACTCTCTGTGTACATGTAAATTGGATCAGCTTGTTTCCCCCTCACTGGTTACTATTGGTTTTTGTATTTCAGGCTGAAAGAATATTCTCAGAAGTTAGAAGAATTGAGAATTACAGAGTTGAGGGCATGGAGATCTACTCTACAACACTTTGGCATCTTCAAAAAGATGTTGCTCTTTCAGTTCTTTCAAAAGATTTAACAGATATGGATAAAAATTCACCAGAGGTATGTTGACCAAAACAGTTGGCTTGTTTAGTTGCCTTCTGTTTTGTTTTTTTCAGTGCTAGGGTCAAACTCAGAGCCTCGGGTGTGCTAGGCACGCACTCTACCACTAAGCTATACTCCCAGCCCCTGTATAGTTAGTTACATTTTGATCACCCTTAACAAATAGAAATGAATCTAGTACAGTCATGCATCACTTAATAACAGAAATATGTCCTGACATATGCACTGTCAGGTGATTTTATCATTGTGGAAAACATCGTAAAGTGTAATTACACAGTCTTAAGACAACCATAACATCACTAGAAGATATAATCTCACAGGACCATTGTCATATATGAGATGTGTCGTAGACCAAAATGTCATGACTATTCAATGACCTACCCTTACTCTTTCTAGATAGGAACTCCGAAGAAGAGAAAGTTCCAGAATTTTTGGTGCAGATTCACAAATACAAAGATCGGATAGCAAATGTTTCATTCAGGACTAATCAAGTTTGACTTTGTCAGAGTTGCTGTTAACCAAGATTAGAGTTCAATGAGCAAAAGATACACAGATTGAAAGAAATGCTGATTTTAAATTTTAAAAAAATTAGTAACTTAATTGCTATTTTAAGACATAAGACAATTAATTCATATGTTCCAGCTTTGTAAGAATTGTATTTCAAGAATATTTAGTGATTTGGTTTTTTGGTTTTTTTCTTTTGAGATAGGATTTTGCTGTTGCCCAGGCTGGTCTTGAACTTTGAATTCTCCTGCCTCAATCTCCCAAGTAGTTGGGATTATAGCCATGAGCCAGCACTCCTGGCCTTTAGTGATACTTTTATCACATATTTAAACACAGAAATAAGTAAAGTCAAATCTTGGCTAAGTAACTTAAGTAGTAGAATATCTGCCCAGCAAGTATAAGGCCCTGAATTCAAACCCCAGTGCCGCAAAAAAAAAAAAAAAAAAAAAAAAAGTGAAATTTCATTATTCACAGTAATTCTGTATTTGCTGTGAGCACTGAATTAATGATAATAAAACCATTGCTTTTACGGAAAATGGTGGGTGTGTGTGTGTGTACATAGATATGTACTTACATGTCACATAGATTGTAATCTTAACTCTTATAAAACAATTTATCCTGATTATTCTCTTTATTTTACAAAAGAGAAAATGAGGTTCAGAAGCATTAAGGTGACTTGCAGGGTCCATGCTACTAACAGGTACCAGCAGTGGGATTCAAACCCTGTCTCACTGTCCTCAGAGCCAGAGCTTCCGTACTACTCTACACTGCCCCTGCAGTCTCTGTTCTCTGGTCATCTCCATATGAGAGTGGAGAATCGCCTTGTTAGCCTCAACTGAGAATGTCCATGTAGGCAAATACGGAATCCATGAATGAAGAGAATGGAACTATTACCTAAAGCACTTCAGTTTTTGTTTTTCTGTTCTAAGTGAAGTCTGAGACTTCACTTTAGTCATAGAGTTGAATTTGTTAGAAAAAATAAAATTTTACCCAGGCACCAGTGGCTCACACCTATAATCCTAGCTACTCAGGAGGCAGAGATCAGAAGAATCACAGTTCGAAGCCAACTGGGGCAACTAGTTCACAAGACCCCATCTTGGGGAAAAAAAAAAAATCACGAAAAGTAGGGCTGGTGGAGTGGCTCAAGGTGTAGGCCCCTGAGTTCAACACCCCCCCACCCAGCATTGCCCCCCCCCCAAAAAAAAAGAAGAAAATTGTAATTATGTATTTCTCTTTTGTCTCCATTTTGTTCAGGCATGGTGTGCTGCAGGGAACTGTTTCAGTCTGCAACGGGAACATGATATTGCAATTAAATTCTTCCAGAGAGCTATCCAGGTTGATCCAAATTATGCTTATGCCTATACCCTGTTGGGGCATGAGTTTGTCTTAACTGAAGAACTAGACAAAGCATTAGCATGTTTTCGAAATGCTATCAGAGTAAATCCTAGACATTATAATGCATGGTAAGTGCTAATGAAGTACAAAGGCAAAGTCTTATTGATGGCATTTGGTTTGGTTTGGTTAGGTTTGGTTTGGTTTGGTTTGGGCAGTTCTGGGTTTTGAACTCAGATCCTTGAGACTGCTAGGCAGGCTCTTTTGCACTTGAATCATATCCCCAACCCTAAAGATGCACTGACAATTCTTATGGAGAAGATCCCGAGGTAGCCATTTGATTTTATTTTTTGGCAGTGGTGTGGTTTGAAGTCTGGGTCTCACGCTTGCTGGACAGGCACTCTTACTTGAACCAGAGCTCTAGCCCCTTTTTTTTTTTTGGACGGTAAAGAAAAATTACTGAGCTGGGGGCCAGTGGCTCATGCCTATACTCCTAGCTACTCAGGAGGCAGAGATAAGAAGGATCACAGTTTGAAGCCAGCCTGGGCAAATATTTCACAAGACCCTATCTTGAAAAAACCTTGCACAAAAAAAAAAAAAATTGGTCTGGTGAAGTGGCTCAAGGTGAAGGCTCTGAATTCAAGCCCCAGTACTGCAAAAAAAAAAACAAAATAAAAATTACTGAGTACTTGATATACTATTTATTTTTCTATATGTTCTTAATGGATTATATCTCATTTCTAAGCGGAAATATTGCTGATAGTCAAAAAAATAGAAATGAAAACACTTTTGTTGACATAAAACATTCAAGCTTGCTGACGCTGCCTTACCATAAGATAGAAGTTCTCTGTAATATTTTAGGAAGTCAGTTCCGAATAGAACTTGTGATGTTTTTTTAAAATGTTTAGGGTCTGTTCTACTAGTTAGCAGCAGTTACATTCTTAATAAACTTTATTAAGAATGCCCAAAACTTGTGTTGCAAGGAGGACTATTCAGACCTGCAAATATTCACTGGGAGGAATTTAAATGCTGACTTATTTAGGTAAAAATAAGTATCTAAACACTGAACATATGTTTTCTAATTCTAAAGTTTATTTCTTGTGCTATTTATGCCTTATCATTAGCACATTCTCTTTATATCTTTTCTTCACGCATAGTACCATTATAATGATAAACATGGCCTTCAAATAAAGCAAATAGTTTGTGCTTTTTTAATTCATTTGGTGCTTAATCCCCATCATTATCTATTTATGGACAAGAGAGTTCTCTTATGTAACCATGTACACTATTCACTTGACGTTTTGAAAATTCAGGAAAAATACCTTCTCATCAACCCAATACACTATTCCATAGCCTTTAAAAGTATAATTTTGAAAGTTATAAACATAGGAGAGCATGCTTTTGATACAGTACATTGAGGAAAGAAAGCCATATGTGTCATATGTATGTAAAGTACATATGCATTTGGACAAAGGATATGAAAATAGCATTGTTAGGGGAATTAAAGGAGGGACCTCACTAGGATCCTTATTAACCATATAATTTGTTTTAATCCTTTCTAAGAACTGATAGCTATATGACTTTAACCAAGTTATTTAACTTCTCTGAGCCTTATTTTCTTCTTTTGAATTGAGAATGATAACAGTACCTACCTTCTTGATTTTTTTCCTAGGATTAAATGAGATAACTCATTGAGAATTTGGTAGCTAGGCATGGTGGTGTATGTCTGTAATGTCAGCACTTGGGAGGCTGAGGCAATAGAATTGGTAGTTTGAGGCCAGTCTGTGTACCTAGTAAGACCCTTACTCAAAGAGGTGGGGGAAGGAATTTTCCAGAGTCATACATGGTAGCAGGTGCCTGTAATCCCAACACTTGGTAGGCTACAGCAGGATGGTCTTGAGTTAGAGGCCAGCTTGGGCTACATAAGGAGACCCTGTCTCACCAAAAAATTAAAAATAAAGGTGTAGCAGACCAAGTGCAGTGATACACACCTCCAGTCCCAGCTACTTGGGAGGCTGAGGCAGGCAGATCACTTGTACCCAGGAATTTAAGGCCAGCCTAGGCAACATAGTAAAACTCAATCTCAGAAAAAAAAAATTAGTAGAGTGCTTGGTACACACATAGTTAATGTGGAAGTTAGCTGATAAGTCTAAATTATAGTGGTGGGTTAAAGATATTTCTTTTTTCCCTCATTATCATAGTTTTATTTAATTGGTTAACTTGATTTATTTTTATTTGTAAAAATGTATCTTCTCAAATGCTTTATTGATTTTTATCATAACTCCATTTCTGCCTCTCCTATAAGACCATGTTTTTCCACTGCCTGTTAAAATGCCAGATACCATATATATCCTGTTAGTAGCTGAACTAAGTCAGCAACCCAAAATTCTATTCCTAAAATTATACTTTGTTTTATACTTTCAGGTATGGTTTAGGAATGATTTATTACAAGCAAGAAAAATTCAGCCTTGCTGAAATGCATTTCCAGAAAGCACTTGATATCAACCCTCAAAGTTCAGTTTTACTTTGCCACATTGGAGTAGTAAGTAACTTTTTAAACATTATCTCTGTATTATCTCCCTTTTTAAATTTGTTAATTGACTTAATCATTATAGTGAAAAATTGGGGCTTTTGGTTCTGGTTTTTATTGAAACAGTATTTCAGAAGCTTTGATACCTTTTTGACTTAGCTTAAGTATCACTGCTACATTCTGTGTTTGTTTTGGGGTTTTTTTTTTTTTGCTTTTTCATTGCTATACTCTTATCCTTTGGGTAAGTCATTTACTTTTTCAGAACTTCTGTTTTTTGAATGACAAGTAATACATCCTTGTGTACCTCACAGGATTGTAACATGACTCATATGAGGGGTTTTGTTTGTTTTTGTGGTGTTAGAGGTTGAACCCATCCATGGCTTGATCGTGTTAGGCAAGTTTTCCACCACTGCCCCTTTGCCCCTATTTTCCAAATAAATTCCTGAAGTAGTTGAAAGTATAATTGTTCTGAATGACATAGGGTTGATAAACAGAGGTTCTTCGAACACAGTTTTGAAAAACCTATTAGAATCGTAAGAATAAAACTTTTGACATGTATTATGTGGATATATGATGCACTTTTTCCTTTTTTTTTTTGGTCGGACTGGGGTTTGAGCTCAGGGTTTTGCAGTTAGCAAAGCAGACACTCTACCACTTGAGCCACACCCCCAGTTAATTTTGCTCTGGATTTTTTGTTTTGTTTTGTTTTGTTGTTTTTTGTTTTTGTGGTACTGGAGTTTGAACTAGGGCCTTACACCTTGAGCCACTTCACCAGCCCTTTTTTGTGACAAGTTTTTCCAGATAGAATCTCTCAGACTTTTTGACCATGCTGGCTTCAAACCGAAATCCTCCTGATCTCTGCCTCCTGAGTATTTAGGATTACTGGCGTGAGCACTGGTGCAGGCATGCTCTAGTTATTTTAGAGATAGAGTCTCGTGAACTATTGCCCAGACTGTTCTCAAACTGTGATTCTCCCAATCTTAGCCTCCCAAGTAACTAGGATTACAGTTGTGAACTACAAGTGCTGACTATACTCTTTTCCTATGAAGCAAAAAATCAAGATTTTGCTTGCCTTTTAGATTTAAAGGTAACCAAATAGCCAATATACAGATAAAATCGTGATTAGTATTATAGATACATAAATGGTGGGTTGGGAGCCAGCGGATGTAGGTTTTCATCCAGAGCTAGTTATTTAACATTTGTTTATTAGATGAAGCAGTGTGCTCATCTTTAAAATGAAATGGAGGTGGGGGGTGGAATATGGCCCAAATAATGTATACACATGTAAGTAAATGTAAAAACGATAAAATAAAATTTAAAAATTAAATAAGTAATCAAAATGAAACAGTTGATTAAACTGTGTGAGAGTGCTAGTTTATTCATCACTTGATAATCAACTACTAAGTCTACTGAACACAGCCTCACCTCTAATGACTCCATCTGTGTATTGGTTTTCAGTCACATGCTTTGGTTCTAACCTTTCTTCATAAACATCAAAAGCAAGCATTAGCTTCATCTTTATTTCGTGTAGGTTCAGCACGCACTGAAAAAATCTGAGAAGGCTTTGGATACCCTAAACAAAGCCATCGTTATTGATCCCAAGAACCCTCTATGCAAATTTCACAGAGCTTCAGTTTTGTTTGCAAATGAAAAATACAAGGTAAGATATATATCTCAGTTTTCTTTCACATTGTATTACTTAAGTTGTATACCTTTTTTTTAAACTAAACTAGAAGTTATTTGTACTTTAATTTTTGATCTGAGATATCTGAAATGAACATTTTGTCCATTTTCAGCAGCTGTTAGGTTCATTTTCTTTTATGATTTCTTCATGGAACACTCATAGGAAAGATGGGTGTTTGGATATTTAGAAATATGTGGTCATCACTTGTAAAGATTCTACATGTAATAGAAAGGCTGTTTTTCCATTAGGGAATATCTTAAAGGTAAGACCTGAACCATCCTCTTAGGAACAAAATAAGTGAACCAGGTGATGAATGTGTATTCACTAGTCAAAAAAAGTTTTATTGGGCTCAGCTATCACTTAGTTATAGTCCTTACTTAGCTTATACAAATACCTGGGTTCTATCCCTAGAACCGCCAAAAATAGAAAAGGATATTTATGGAGAACTTACTGTGTGTCAAGCATTAGGAATATAGTGATAAGTAACAGAATCATATTTCTTGCCCTTGAGTAGCTTCCCACGTAGCACCCCTATAGAGGGAGAGCAGATGTTAATCAATAACCATAAAACTGAAACATAGTGTAGTGGATTATGAGTGTTTATAACAAGGAGACTAGATGTAGGCTGATATATTTTTCTCTTTTTTATTTCTCACTTTCATTCATAATTTTCAAATTATAATCTGTAACCTGAAAGAAGTATCAAGACAAGAAGATAAAGAAAACTGAGTAAAAGAAAGACAGAGTGACATGGAAGTTTTCTTATCATATATTTAGTCATAAACAGTGAATCTTTAGTTTTGATTTTTTTAGGGGGGCAGGACGGTTTGTTGTTTGGGGTTTTGGGGTGTGTGTGTGTGTGTGTGTGTGTGAGTGAGAGAGAGAGAGAGACTGGGGTTTGAAATCAAGGCCTCAAATTTGATAGGCAGGTGCTTTGCCACTTGAACCACGCACCCAGCTCTTTTTTGCTTTAGTTGAATAGAGTCATGTGTTTTTGCCAGGACTGGCCTGGATCAAGATTCTCCTATTTATACTTCCGGAGTAGTTAGAATAATAGGCATGAACCACCAGACCCAGCCTATTGGTTGAGGTAGGGTTTCACTAACTTTTTATCTGGGCTGACCTTGAACTTCGATTGATCCTCCTGATCTTCACCTGAGTAGCTTGGATTTCAGGTGGGAACCATGATACCCAACCTTGAATCTATAGGTTTGGTTTGAATTTCAGGTTTCTGTTTGCGTAAATTGAGATTCTTACTCAAAAGAGTAAAAACTGAGCTAAGTATGGTGTTGCATGCCTGTAATCCCAGCCCTTAGGAGACTGAGGCAAGAAGATCACTAGTTGAAGGCCACCCTGGACTACATAGTAAGACACTGGAAAAACAAACAAAAGTCTTACTAAAAAGTATTTTAAATTCCCAAAATTTAAGTACTCAGAAAAACTTGGGCCAAATAATCATTCTAGTAGACTGTTTCCTTAGGAGTATATTCTTCTAGTACATATGGAAATTTGCTGAAATTGAAAATTGCCAAAGCGTGACATGTTACTTTTTTTAATATACCTTTTTTTCATAGGAAGATATAGAAAGGGATTAAATAGATAACTTACTCTTTGTCATTTATTCAGTAGTTCTATTTTTACTGTCTTTTCTTTATGAAGTAGATGTCTAGTCCTATTTTGTCATTTGTAAAAGCTTCTTTTAAATCTGCTTTTCAAATTTCAACTTGTTCTTTGAGATGTAATTATAATTCAATGTTTATATTTACACTTCTCTTTATTATATTCCTTTAGATAGGAAGCCAGGTTCTTTAATTGAAAGATTTTACTCAATTTATTATTCTTAAAGCCATTGTGATTCCAACATACCTACCTATAAGGCATGTCATATAAATCATCCCTGTACTTGCTGCTGCTTGGTTTTAATTTTGGGGTTTTTTTTTTTGGGTTTGGGGTTTTTTTTGTGGTACTAGGCAACCATACCCTCAGCCCCCCTATACTTACTTCAAGAAGAACTTCTAATACCAGTTATCTGAGCTGTAATAGATAGTTAAATAAATTTTGGGGTTTGAGTTTGGGGCTTGGCTAAGTTATCAGGACTACTTTGAGCCTGTATTATGTATAGGCTGAAGACTGTAAAAAGTTCATAAAGAAAAGTTACTAATAATTTATAAAATGTCCTAGGTCCAAAATGACAATCAGGTAGTACAAAAAGCCCCTGCATGGGGAGAGAAGGACCAAACAGAACTTCACACTAGAATGTGCCCTGCAGCCTGGTTTTCAAAGCATATTAGCATGCTTCCACATGGTGAGCTTATTGTTATTCTAACTAAAATGCTGACAAAGGTTGTCACCGCTTGCATCTTTCACAAAGTGGTTGTATGTGTGTTTTCAGTGCACTCTGGTGAATGCCCACCATTTCTTAGTTCTTAGTTATTTTTCATGCATTTTATTTTCAGAACAATAAGACTTAACCAATATAAAAGTACATTGATTAGGTCTAGTAAGCTTTTATTAAGGTGACTTGAGAAATCTAGCAAAAGCACTTGCTTAGACAATACTGTAAAATGTTGCTACTCTTAAGATTTTTCTTTGCCTTTTTCAGTCTGCTTTACAAGAACTTGAAGAACTGAAACAAATTGTTCCCAAAGAATCCCTCGTTTACTTCTTAATAGGAAAGGTAAAGATTGGGGCCATGGTCCTATACTGTGAATTTGCTAACAAATACTAACTTTTGAAGAATAAATATAGTACTAATTGTGCAACATCTATTGAACAAATTCAGCTAGAGCTCTAAACTAAGGGCTCTGGGAGTAATGTATTTAGTTTTAGCATTTAAGAAGATATTATCTTAATTAAGGAGCAAGAGCACACCATAATCCTAACCTTTCTATGGTATTAGAAGTTGATCATTATTTGCACTTCAAGGCCAGTGCTGAGCACATAATAGAGATGGCCACATGGAAAACCCTTAGCCTCTAATCCTTAATGAAATACTCTGAAATCACTCAGAAGAACACCTATGGTGCTGTGCTGGCTGCTAACCTAGACCAGGATTTTACAGATTGGGCCCTGAATGCCAATTGGCCTAAGTGTCTGGGTACTAAGGATAGGTGTTAAGAGTTGATGTATCTCCCTTTAAAATTAATGTAAGTGAATATTAATCAGACAGATTTATAGTCCATTTCTTCCCATTGTCAGTGTTTCAGTGAGTGAGATTTATAGGAAAATTCCTACCTGAAAGACAGGCAAGGAATTCTGAAGATAATATCAGATTATATTTTTAAAAATCTGATTATATGAATTCATATTCAAAAGCTGTTATGAGTTTGTCTATAGGATGAAAATGTCCTACCCATCAGAATGGGTTTAGATCACATAAGTCAGGAACCTAATTTATATTGTAAATGTGTAGGGTTTTGTAGCGGAAGCTCACAACTTAATGAAAAATGTAGTGCTGCTGTTTATTTTTAGGTTTACAAGAAGTTAGGTCAAACGCACCTCGCCCTGATGAATTTCTCTTGGGCTATGGATTTAGATCCTAAAGGAGCTAATAACCAGATTAAAGAGGCAATTGATAAGCGCTATCTTCCAGATGATGAGGAACCAATAACCCAAGAAGAACAGATCAGTGAGTAGCTACCTTTTCTGTAAGAATTCTTGGGCTGCTTTTTTATTTTTCTAAATGTGGTTTCTTGATGCAAATGAAAATTTAATAGGGTAATACAATAACAAAGTGCCTGGGGACCCAGGTAGTTAATTAGTCTCAGTTTTGGATCTGTTTGCTGTATGACTAACAAACCTGTTGCTGATTTTTTTAACCTGTATCTTAGTTTGCATCTGAATATGTAACTAATACTGCCATAAGTACTTCATAGGAATGTGGTATGGGTGTAGGAGATAGGAAAGTATGAATTTGTTACATTTTAAGTACATTTTAAAGCTCTGTAACAGTGGTTATTTACATTCTGTGTAGCTCTGATAAATCAAATATATGCCTTATATATAAATTTGGGAACTAAGGAAAGAGACAGATTTGGGTGGGGAGAGAAGTAGGGGTTCAGATAGGGTCTCATTCTGTATCCTCAAACATGAAATCCTCCTCCCTCAGCCTCCCAAGTGCTGGGACACAGGCCTTGCCAAGAATTATATTTTAAGGCAGTACATTCTCTATCCCTAAGTTGAGTGTATGTCTTAAAATAACTAGAGAACCAAACTTAAGGTATCACTATTTTTAATAACTAAAATTTTCTTAAGAAAGTCTGAATAGACGCCTTTGTTCCAGGAAACTTAATGAAAGACTTTAATTAAAATTATAAGTTCAGGGCTGGAGGCGTGGCTCAGCAGTAGAGTGCCTGCACAGTATAGCCAAGCACCAGTGGCTCACGCCTGTAATCCTAGGTACTCAGGAGGCAGAGATCAGGAGGATCACAGATCAAAGCCAGCCCTGGGTAAATAGTACGCTAGACCCTATCTTGAAAAAAACCCATCACAAAAAAGGGCTGGTGGAATGACTCAAGCACTAAGAGCACCTGCCTAGCAAGCATGAAGCCCTGGGTTCAAAAAAAAGAAAGAAAGAAAAACCCACTACATAAAAAAATAAATAAATAAATAACCCTATAATCCCAATAGTTTTTTGGTTTCTTTTTTTTAAATAAACTGAAGTTTCTACTTTATATTTCTATGAACTAGCAAGGACTTTCCTTACAATTCAATCAGTGATTAGGGTTTGGGGAAGTATTAGAGTTGCTTTCTTTTGTTTTGTTTTGTTTTTGGTAGGACTCGGATTTAAACTCCAGGCTTCATGCTTGCACAGCAGGCATTCTACCACTTGAGCCACACCTCCAGTCCTTTTGCTCTGGTTAGTTTGGAGATGGGGTCTAACTGTTTGCCTGGATTGGCCTAAAATCCTTCAAATCTCAGCCTCCCAAGGAGCTAGGATTATAGACATGAGCCACTGGTGCCCAGCTAATGTTAAATGTTTTGTTTTTTGTTTTGGGGGCATTTTTTCTGTCATAGATAAATATATCTAATTACTAGAGCAAGAATAAATTAATTGGGGAGAAGCAGTGTTACTATTTAAAATCCTTAAAAGTTAAATGTAATAAATTAATTTCAGACATGCTATAAAATAAAGAACCTGAACCATATCTTATTAGAGAATGCTAGGATTTTTTATGGACTTTATTTTGGGTCTCATCTCTGAATATAATGCAGTGTTCCTTATTTATTTTCATGAACTAACAAGATATATTTATTAGACACCTTACTAACCTTACTAACTTTTGTTTTATTTTTAAAGTGGGAACAGATGAATCCCAGGAGAGCAGCATGACAGATGCAGACGACACACAGCTTCATGCAGCTGAAAGTGATGAATTTTAGCTTCTAGAAATCAGACACTTGCAACTGGATGTGTGACTAATGCTGACATGTTTCTTGTCCCTGCATATACTGAGTCTTCACTCTTGAGCCGGCAGTGTCATCATCCATCACTTATACCATGAGTATGCCACTTTCATTGGACCCTGACTATACACAGAATGAAAGGCAGTGCAATATTTAGCTGCTAACAAGACTGGCTCTTTTACCAATATGAATGACAATTTCGGGGAGTAGGGTAGGGAAGTTTCTTTTTTTTTTTTTTTTTTTTTTTTTCTTTAATCTCCCTTAGTTGGAAAGCTATCATGGAAGGAAGAGTTATGTTTTATCTTGAAGGAACCAGTAGATATGGAAAATAGTGATGAACCAGAATTTCTTGGTCATTTTTCCAAAAATTTGTTTTTATTTGGTTCTGTTCCTGATAAACAGACTGACCTTCATTTCTAGGTTCTTCAAGAATGGTGTTAGCAAGTGCCAGATGGAACAATAAAAGACATTGCCTATAACAGAGTAACCTGATTGCCAAGGAATGTAATTACCTTAAACTTGCAGTGTCTCCTATAAACAAATGTAATGGGCATATTGGACTCATATGTAGGAATCAAATATCCCTCCATAGAGTGTACACTTATTCTTGGCAAGAATGCTTTAATGTCTAACCAAGAATTTTAATTTATTCATCTTGCTTCAAAGTGTTGATCATTGTTGTCTTGGTATTGTAAACTTTAAAATTGGTCCTTACCATATTGCCTCTTCTCTTTGAGCTCTGTGGGATCACCTTTAACATGCAGAGATTATAGAGTGGTTCCTCACTGAAAAGCCAAAACAAGACCCTTAATAACCACTTAAGTTCACCAGGAGAATTAGTAAGAGAACACTAAAGGGAGACTTTAAGAGATCATGATAGTGAAAGCCTTAAAACAATCAGAATTGTACCATAACCTTGAATTTACATTTGTTCGAGACAGTATCCCTTTGACTTTTCTAAGCGTATAAGTAGAGTGCTAGAATGTATGGTTACCTTTGTTGAGGTCATTTCCACTCTTTTCAGCTCTCTCCTTCAGATTATTTTTGGTAGTGTGAGTCATCAAAACTTCTACTGAGAGTAATTGGGTTTAGGATATTGGAAATTTTTAGACTGGGGGAAAAAATTCTTATGAAGGAGACATGTTCTCTCTTAATTTCATCATAATATAGGTTGGTATCTTTGGGAATTGGCCACAATTTTAAAGATCTAATTATGCATATAAAATGGGAATTATTGGAATTTCACAGTAACCGATTTAAACAGTCTTAAATTGTGTATCTCCTTTATTGTAATGTATTGAAAATTTTAGAGAAACTTTAGTTGTTAACATTTTATTAAGTGCCAATGTCAGAATATAACGAATTATAGTTTCTTATAAATGGCAAGCCTACAGTTATTATTTTGGATTATTTGATGAAGGACAAACTTACCTACTAGTTGGTTACCTGTATTTGTTAGTCAAGCTGTGAAAATAAGGTGGATTACAAAAGATGTGAAAAAAAATTTTACCTGTAGACTCAGCAGTTTTCTGTCATTTACTGTTAATCTTCTTGTCCAAACATGAATTAGATACCATTGCAAATTGATTCAAGTCAAAATCTTGGGTTAGGTATTAGGTGCCAGAGGTGCATTTAACAAAATTTCCTACCTAAATCTATGTATATGTGCTGTCTAAAAATGTGATTTATAAAGAAAAGGAAAGGTTGGGAATAAATGAATATCATTAGAAATTCCCAATGGCTAGCACTTGGATTCTAACAAATATTCCATTTTATTATCCATTAGTTCTGTGATGTTTAATTTTAGATTCTTTTATTTTTTTTAATTGGCGAATCATAAGCCAGCAAAATATATATATATATATCAGATCTAGAATTTCATAGAAAGCTTCACCCCAAGTTCTGTATTACAGAACCTGGAGAAAGCTGAGCTCAGAACATAATTTGCTGAAGTGTAATTATCTTTTGTAGTAGAAATTTATGTCCTGTGCCAGAGAGACTTTCTGGTATTGATTTTGAGACCAACAATAAAAGGATAGTTGTGGAAGGCACACCATGGCAGTCACTGGCTGAGGGACACTTTTAGCCCATGCTTGGCCTCATTTCATTTTCCTCATACCTGCTTTTAATTTAGGTATCTGAAGCCCTGTTTCATGCTTAGTAGCTGTTTCTTGCTCCTTTTTGTTTTTGTTTTTGCATTTGCATGGAATGAGGATCAAACAACTAGAAGAAGAAACACATTTTGGTCAAGCAAAATGTTTGTTTCAGATTTCAGAAGTTACTTTGAAGGAAATTAAAAATACTAAGTACTTTGACATCTTTTTTTCTGTTTAAGCTTTTCACACGTATACATCCATATATATTTACGTGCACACAGAACTTAATGTTGTAGCATTGAACGTGCCCCCACCTCCCCCACCCCATGGAAATGGTTGTTACTCTGGGATTTTAGAAGGTTGGAATATTTTTTCAAGAGAACAAATAGTACTCAAAATAATGAAAGGTGGTCCCTACTTTTTCTGTGTTTCATTACTTTTAAATTTTTTTTAATTTTTTTCAAATACTGCAAGTAACATTTGAACCATGCTGCTGTTGTACCTTAAACAAAAACTCAGTGATAACCAGTATTTAGTCTATTAAAAATACTCTTTTTGAAGAAAACAGTTTCAAAGTCTCTGATTAGCCAGAATATAGTATGGGTCTTCACTGAGAAATAGGATCCATTTTCTTTGGAAAACCTGGAAAAATGCAAGTGTGGGTGTGATGTGTGTTTTATTTGCATTGAAACAATGTAATTTGTGTCTTCTTTTTGCTTTTCCTGACTTATTTCAGAAATTGTACAGTCTTGGGGGGGGAGTCTTTTCTGTTAATATATTTGCAATTCATTAAAGGATATGGAAAATACAAATAAATTACTTTTGAAAGCTATAATCAAGTTGTGAAAGCTATATCAGAGCTGTGCCACCTGTATTTTTATAGTAATGCACAGCAAGTAATTGTGAAAGATTACAGTTTTATGTTCTGCAAAAGCCTAAGGACAATGTTTCTCTAATTTTTTTTACCTACACTTTAAGAATATATATATATATATTTAAAGTTCATACCCTTTTTAGTATTATTTGAAATTTCAAAATAAATATTATGACAAATCAATGGTTATTTTTAGAATATATTATTTTCAAACTGCAGAACCTCCTTAACTAACAGCTGCAATTTGCAAGTCAACTGCTTATCCTTTGATCATGTGATTTGTGAAATTCCTCTGAAAGGGAAACAAAGCTTTTTTGTTCCAATTTAAAAATCTGTTTAAAAAAAGTCAAGCTGTGGAAGAATTAAAATAGAGAAAGTGAGTTTTACTCTATTTGAAAAATCTTTTGGTTTTTTTTGGTATCTTGGAGGAAGTAGAGGGGGGCTGAAGGGGTTCTCAGGCTTGGAGAAAGGACCAACAACAGGAAAGACACAGGAAATGATGTAAGCCCCATACACCTGAGGGAGCAATTCACACTTGCTGTGGGCTAAGCAAAATAAATAGAAGTTTAGACGTAGGATTATCCTTTGGCTTGTTTAGCTATTATTTCGTGGTTCCTGAAGGTTCAATATAGGTTTTATGTGCAAATTTTGTTCAATTGCTATGTTTAGTGAGAACTTGCTCCACGTAACCTGTAACTTGCTTTGTGAATGGTATTTCCCATCAAAACAATTCTATAAGGCAGGTATTACTCCACTTGACAAAAGAGAAAACAGAGATTCAGCTATTAAATGACAGAACTGGGCACTTCTGGCATCAATGTATGTTCAAAGCCTTGCATTTAGTTTTGTTTCAAATCATGCATTAACATTAACTATTAGGTGTCCTCTAACTTTTTGCGGGAGGAGTGATACGGGGAATTGAACTCGGGGTCTTCTGCTTGCTAGGCATTGCTCTACCACTTGAGCCATGCCTCTAGCCCTTTTTACTTTAGTCAATTTTAAAATAAAGTCTCATACTTTTGTCCAGGGCTGGTCTCTGATGGCAGTCTTCCTACCTATTATAGGAAGGACCACGGCATGCATCACTATCCTAGGTTTGTTGGTTGAGATGGAGTCTTGCTAACTTTTTGCCCAGACTGGCCTCAAACCATGATCCTCCCAATTTCTCCTGCCTCTGTAATACCTGGAGATTACAGGACTGCACAACCACATCAGGCTGTAGCTTTTTTTTTTTTTTTTTTTTTTAGTGGAACTGGGGTTTGAACTCAGAACTTCATGCTTGCAAAGCAGATGCTATTCTGCTTGAGCCATGCTTTCAGTTCATTTTGCTGTAATTATTTTGGAGATGGGGTTCTCAAGAACTATTTACCATGGCTGACCTCAAACTGTGATCTTCCTGATCTCAGCCTCCCAAGTAGCTAGGATTATAGACATGAGCCACTGGTGCCTGGCAGGCTTTAGCATTTTAAAATATTGTATTAATACAGTAGGATCAAAGAATCCCAGGTTTTACACAGGAAGTCATACATTCAAATGTTTATCTTACGCATAGTCTTTCAATGGATTTTTATCAGTGTCCTGCTTCTCTACTGTTCTCACACTAAAATTGGGAAGTATAGTTTCTCTCTCTGACTAGAGTTGGCTATAAATTATGTAGAGCATTCTTTTTATATTCAGCACTGTGGAAGAAAAAATTTTCCCTGACACTTGCTGAGGATAAGGCAGATATCCAAAGGGAGCCACAGAGCTAGATACAGGGACCAAACAACTGCAAGGCCCCCTTAGGGGAAGATCAGACTTAAGCCTGACTCCACCAAGGAACAGGGTGGGATGATAGGTGGAAAATTACTAAGAAATTATCGAGGAGTTTCTGGCCAACTGAATTTAGGATTACTGCTGGAAGGCCAGCCAGGTTGATAAGCTATCAGGGTGGATAGAGGAGTTTTGCTAAACTGATTGATCAGGGTTCTTGCGCAAATGGGGTTCTGCAAAGACAAAGAGGGAAGCCCAAAGTCAGATCTAGTCAGAAAGGCCCAGTGTACAGCCATCCCACCCTGAATGTGCCCAATCTCCTCAATTTCGAAAACTAAGCAAGGTCGGGCCTGGTTAGTACTGGATGAGGGAAAGGACTCAGAGGAGCCTGACTAAAGTTTTGATGAAGAATGGACTGTTGTCATGGTCAAAATACAACTTTCACTCTTTTCCTGCGACCACCAAGCAAGAGTGGAGACAGAGTTCCCT